CCGTGACTCCTGGTCAACTCTCCTGGACCTGCCAGCCGGTCTCCTTCCTGGGGTCACCCCACCCACTCTGCAGCCCCTCCGAGGACTGAGGAGGCAGCCAGCTTCCCCACAGACCCCTCCAGGCTGACACCCCTGTTCCGTTAGGTTACCCCGGAGTGTGGAAGGAGGGACTCTTACTGGGGCAGGACGGAGGGTGCCCCGGATCTGTGGAAGTGGACGATCTGCCATTTGCCATCCCGGCGGTGCCAGACGCGGGTCTCCTCCGACTGGGCGGTGCGGGGGATGCCGCCGGCGTCCAGGTACTGTGTGATGCGGATGTAGGCAATGCAGGCCGACTCGTCGCCCATCAGGTGGATGTGAGGGTTCAGGATGGTGGTGTGCACAGGCTTGCTGTTCCGGGACCACACTGGATGCAGGGACGGGAGGGCAGAGGAGATGCGACTGGGGGCCTCCAGCCTCATTTCCCTCACTTTCTCAGCCCCCAGCAACCCTCTGCTCCGGGGCCTGCCTCATTTGTCAGAGGGAGCCTCTGGAACAGGAATCAGCTACCAGGGATCAAGGTGGCGCTTCTGGATAACCAGGCCATGGCATCGCAGCTTAGACACAGTGACTACCAGACAGCCGAGGTGTTTTAACACAGCGCAATGGAGCTGGCGAATCTCGCCCTCTCAGACACACAGCACAGAGCCAGACGAGCCTACCCCAGAGCTCCATGGAGATCAGGCTGGCGCTAAACGAGAGAACCAAGCTGAATGACAGCTGACCCTTTGCCTCCGGGTGAGGGAGACAGTGGGGAGTGATGGGAATGGGGTGAGCAGACACTGTCCCATCCTAAGGCCGCTCCCTGCACACAGCTTCCCTGGGGTTGCTCTGTAAGTGGGACCGTGCTGCTACACCTGGGTTTTCCAGAGAATCTGGAAGTCTGGATTCTTATATGAAAGTGCCTCGTTGGGAACCAGCAGTTAGCGTAATGGCTGTCACTGGACTCCCACGTAGTCGACCGCGGTTCGCGTTCCGGACTCGGTGGCTTAAAACTCATGCCGGGTGCGTGTGCGTGCATGCCCAGGATCCCGAGAGGAGAATGGAGGAGAAGGAATTGCGGCGTGACCATCCCCCCTGGGGAGTGATTTCTCGCTTTCTGTCTCTCTGTCTCTCTCTGTCTGTCTGGCGAGCGCATGCGCCCTATAGCAAAAACCACTCCCCCCCCCCAAAAAAAAAACAGCTCCGTTTTACTGATTGGCACCGAATTCGAATTTAAAACAGCCTGTAGACCCCACAAACCATAGCTGCTGTCCAGATGTGGCCAGGGGCACCCCATGTGCCTCCTCTATTCTACCACTACATATGAAACTACAGAAACTTGGGGGACATTAGAAGTGTGGGCTCTTAGAACCTTGCGGTTTGGAGGCTGGAGCTGGTGGTCCAGGCACAAGGCCGTGGAAAGGTCCAGAGTGAGAGAAACGCACAGCTCCTGTCATCACCCCAGGACTGGTGGGGGATCTGAAGCCAACTCCCGCATGTGGAGCACAAGCCACCACTCCTGTCAGTATTATGTGGGTGCTAGACACTCCCAAGTTTTTCCTCAAGATACCTAACAAAGGCACAGAGAAGACAGGGATGCTGGAGCCTTGGAAAGCAGTCATGGGGTCTCAGGCTTGAGAAGAATGTTGCCCTTAGTGGAGCCCCGAAGCAAGTCCGAATCCCATGGACAGCTGAGTTAAAAGACAAATTTTTTTAGTTCCATACTTAGAGATTCTAGTTCCAGAATCTGTAATATTAAAAGCTCCCTTCCATTATTTCCTTTAATAAATCAAACTAATTTTTCATGGCTAGCAAAGGAGATTGGAGGAGCCAACTCCATGGTGCAGGGGTAATGTGCTACTCAGGACGCCAGGTTCCACATGGCGACTGCAGTTCAAATCCCTGGCTGGTCAGCCTGAAACAGGCTGGGCACAGGTGGGTGTCCAGGAGGCGGCGGGCTGGAGGATGGGAGGAAGGGGATCGTGGCATGTGCATGTCTTACCTACTCCCTCTCCCTCTCTCTCCCTTTCTCATGGGTGCACTCTTATGAGCACACACCCTATTGTGAATAAAGAAAAGAAAAGCAGGACATCAGGTGGCATGGAGGTTAAGGTGGTTGGATCCCACATGATTGACTATGTGGTTCAAGTCCCAGACCCTGCAGCTTGAAAATCAGGCTGGATGTATATGCATGCATGCCCAGAATCCTGAGAGAAGAATGGAGAAGGGATTGTCCTCCCTGGGGGGTGATTTCTCACTCTCTCTCTCTCTCTCTCTGGTAGGTGCATGCACCCTATAGCAAACTAAAAACAAACAAACAAACAAAAACCAACCAAACTAAAACAAACAAAAATCTCCCTTTCTCTCCCTGCTGCCTGTTTCTGATGCCAAGCCAGATTTGTGAACTACTTACTTCCTGCAAAATGTAAAATGCTTTCCTTGCCACCACCAAGACTGCAGAAAACATTCACTAGTACCTGCCCCCAAAATTATGATGCAACCATGTCCAGGGTTAGGGTAAGAGACTCAAAACCACCAAGTCCTAGACACATAGAATAACAGACCTAGAATTCTGGGCTTTTAGACATAAAGAACGTAGTTTTAGCATCGCAGGCTTAGGGATGACCTAAGGGGTCAGAGGTTCCCCAGTGGCTCAAGTACAAAATTAATTTTATTATTATTAATTGTTTTTTTTTTTCCAGAGGTTTTTTGCTATAGGGTGTGTGTGCTCGCCAGAAAGACAGAGAGAAACAGAGGCCCAGAAAGTGAGAAATCACCCCCAGGGGGGATGGCCATGCCGCAATCCCTTTTCCTCCATTCTCTCGGGATCTTAGGCATGCACTCACATGTGCCTGGCATGAGTTTAAGCCACTGGGTTTGGGACTCGAACTGCAGTTGACTACATGGAAGTCCAGCGACACTGCCATTACGCCAACTGCTGGCCCCATATTTTATTTTTCATTTTTAAAATTTTTGTCATTGGGCACATGCTCTCATTGGAGAGAGAAAAAGTGAGAATCACTCCCTACCCAGGGCCATGCCACAATCCCTTTTCCTCCATTCTCTTCGGATTTGGGGCACGCATGCATGTGGGACTGGCATAATTTTCAAGCCACTGGGTGCAAGACTTGAACTGCAGTCGGCCAGGTGGGAGTCCAGCACCCCCTTGCTGGCCCCTCACCTACAAAATCGGAGGCGGCCTCTGTAGGATCCCTGACAGTGTCCAGAGTAGGAGGCACACAGAGCATCGATCTCAAGGTGTCTGTTTAGCTCATATGGAAGCTGAGGGCCCGAGAACCAAGCTGACTTGTGCCAAAGTAGCTCAGTTCCTGAAAGAACTACAGTGGGACCTGAAGTAAGTCATCTTCAGGTGAGACTGAATCAGGACAATGCCTACGTGCCCTAAACAGAGTTAGCACAGTCAAGGGGACTGGGCCTTGCTGCTATTGGGGTTCTGAGGGGCATTTGTAAAGAAATGTCCCCTAACATGGTGTCTCTTCCATTTGAGCCCTTATGGATAGGGTGGAAGACAGGGCCAGGTCCTCAGCAGGGAAAGGTACACAGTGGAGGGGGGGATTTAGGGCATATAGTTACTCTGGGTTTGCCCTTCCAGGTGTTTAAACCTAATGTCCCAGGCAGCGTGCACGCGTGTGTGTGTGTGTGTGTGTGTGTGTGTGGTGCAGAGGCAGGAGAGGGGGACCAGAACACTAAAATGAGGCAGGACAAGGGCTGTCTGACCTTCTCTGTTTAGAGTTCGCACTGGAGAAACAGCGCCCCCAGAGGACAGACTGTGTAATGGTGTCCGCAGTGACCAGTGAGGGAGCTTCACAGTGACAGGGACCTATAGGGTCCAGTCATCTCTCTTCACGTGAGAGTTCAATTTCCATTGTTAGCTTGGATAATTAGTTGACTTATTTATTTTTTGAAAGGTTTTTGCGTTAGGGTGCATGTGCTCGCCAGAGAGAGACAGAGAGAGAGAGAGACAGTAAGAGGGAAAGTGAGAAATCAGCCCCCCCCCCCTTGGTGGTGGGGTGGCCACGCCGCAATCCCTTCTCCTCCATTCTCCTCCCAGGACCTTGGGCACACACGCACATGCATTCAGTGTGATTTTGAAGCCACTGGGTCCAGGACTCGACCTGTGGTTGGCCATGTGGGAGTCCAGCAATGTAACCGCTATGCCATCTACTGGTCCCTAGTTTGACTTATTAAAGGAAAAGATGGAAGGAAGATATAGCTTCCTTCTTCACAACTTTTCTTGAGGGTGCCTTGAGCCTCTGTACCCATAACATTCAGGTGGAGAGGGTGCAGGCCAGGAGAGGAGTCAGCCAGCTGGAGGCTGACACTGTGCAGACGACAGGGGCGGGTGGGGCAAGGAAGGGAAGCCCTGATGTGAGTTGGGTCCAGGTCCTGCCGCCGGCTTTCTGGAGTCCTTTGCACAAGTCACTTCCCCTCTCTGGGCCTCGGTTTCCCCTTCTACATGGCGAAGACTTGGACTAGAGCCTACCTTAGTCATTGAAGTACCACACGTAAGTGCTACCTACACTTACTTCGGGATGTTTCCCTGAATCGATTCACTTTACAAATATATGCATGTGAATTTTATTATTATTATTATCATCATTCTTTCAGACAGGTTTTTGCCCTATCATGACCCTTCCTGCCTCAGTCCCCCTGAGGCACCGGGATTACAGGCACACAACACAGAGCCTGGTCTTCCTGTTGGGCTAGGAATGGAACCTGGGCCTCCCACGCGGTCCCAGCTTGTGGAGCAGTTCTTAGCAAGGTGTGCTACCGTGGCTGAGCCTTTATTTACTTATTTAAAAGAGCCTTTCTAGCACACCCATTAAAGAGCAATCAGTATCACAGAATACATTTTTAATAAGTCCAGTGAGAACAAAATGAAGTACCGTAACCCTTGCTCAGGCTCCTGCCTGTGAGAGCCAAGCATGAGATTCATTCCCTTTTCGATGAACAAGAAAATTGGGGTGTATCAGAGAGGCACTGAAGACAGGCTGGCACCCAACTTAGCCTTTGGGTGCCCTTGACAGAGCCAGAGTGTTGAAAGGCTTTCCTCACTGCAGTTCACAGTGGGGCCTGCGTACCCTGAAATCCATACTCGACCTTGGTAGAACACACCCTTTCCTTTGGGTCCTTCCTCCTGGTCCTCCACTGCATGATTCTAACCTGTGTGCCCTTGAGTTCAGCCCTGTTGACCCCTGGCCTCGGTGGGACACAGACAGAGGCAGGAAGCAGCCTGGGTCAAGCCTGGCCTGGCCCCCTGGCAGCCCCTGGGTGCAAAGCTGCTATAGTCTCTCTTGCAGAGAGGTCCAGGAAGGACAGACATGCAGGACAGAGACCTCGACAAACAGGCAGGGCACAGCAGTGTGAGCTCACTGTCCTCTTTCCCAAGCTGCCCACCCATGAGGGACACTTGCATAACAGCCAGCTCATGACCAGCTGGGGTTGCATTGGCTGCAGTCATCCAGAGGGGTGACTCGCGGGTATGAAAAGTGAAAAGGCTCCCTTCACTACCAAGTGGGCATAAAGGCTGTCCTCAGGCCCCTTCTAGGGTCTGGGCAGGAGAGGGGGAGGACTTGGCCTCTGGGAACCCCCACCCATCTCACAGGAGGGACAGCTGGCAGGCAGGCCAGGTTAGGAGAGGGAACCAAGAGGGTACTAATCCCTGTCCACAGGGATCCTCCTCTCTACTGAGCCGCCCCGGGGGGGCCCTGCCAGTCACCTTGCTGTGCCATCTGGCAGGACATGGAACGAGAGCAGACAACAGGCACCCCAGAGAGAAGGGATTGCTCACGGTTTTCAAAATAGAATCGATGGAAGTCCAGGCCCTCGACCAGGTTCCCCAGGGCCTCAGGTTCGAAGGCCGTCATCCCAGGGTCGCACATCTTCCTGGGGAAAGGAAGCCGGAGGAGAGGGGCTGAGGCAGCTGCTCACCGGCCCTTGGAGGGTGAGCCTGGACATGGGAATGGCTCACCCACCCCACAGCATCGCTGCAGACTGAATGTGGGGCACTGCTGACTGGGAAGTCTGGGGTTGGGTCCTGGAACTGTCACACTTCATGGATAAGAGACCCAAAGCAAGTGACTTAACCTCTTTCCAGCCATTCTCTTCTCTCCACGTTGCACCTCTGACCCAGGGCAGTGGGTCCTCAGGGGATGTTGCCCCAATGCATCTTCCCAGGGGTGAAGGGCCACCTCTTCCTTTGCATAAAATGACTTTCTTGCTCACCACACTATGCTGGGGGAGGGGGGGGAGACACACTTTGCTCATTTGAACAAAGACGCCCTATTGTTAGCCACAGCCCTGACTGCAAGCCCATTTCGCCTTTTGTTAGATGGGGAAGGTAGCATCAGCTGAGGCCCAGGGCCTGGCCCAGGAGGCACTCAGCAAATGCAGCTGGGTACTCTCAGCTCGGGGCTCCCTTCCTGGTCTTGGTCTCCTGGAGAATCAGACAGCCAGGCAGGGGCAGGGAACACACTGCCTGCGGCATCCTGAGGCCTCTGAGATCTCAGGTGGCACCACATGGACCCACTGACAGAAGCGATGGATAGGATATGCCCTGGGGTAAGCAAGCTCCCAGCCCAGGGGTTCAGGTCCTGCATTGTCTGAGCCGGACAGAGCCTAGCGGGGTGCACTGTCCTGCCTGTTTGGGTGACTCCAGATAACTCATTTCTCCACTCAGGAACCCAAATGTTCCAGGAGGATTAAGCCATGCTCAGACCAAACGGGAGCTGCTCTAGACTGTTCCAGCTCCAGAATCGTCCAAGGCTGGGGGTCCGAGGGCTGAGCATGTAGGAGATGGAGCACCCCACTGAAGAAGCCCCTCCTGGAGGTATCCAGTGCTCCTGCTTCCTAGAATGAAGGGACCTCGAGACCACCTGCTCCAACTCCATTGCATAGAGGAAACCAAGGCTCAGTGGGATGAGGGCCTACTCAGGGTTACACAGGGCCAGTCTGGCGCCCCCAGGGTCATTGTCTCTAGTAGGCTACAGATGGCAGAGGGTGACACTGCAGAGGGTAAGGGAGCTTCTAGGGCCCCCAGAAATGGTACTGTGGTACTTGGGAGCTACCTCTTGCTCCCTGATTGTGCCCTTCCAGAGTCACTGTCATGGTACACTCCAACTTAACACTCCCTGGGACTGGCTGCAAGTCCAACCTAACAGCCTGTCTCCATGCTTTTATGCAGCACCAGGTACATATGTGCACACATGCCTGTGCATACTCCTTGTGCACATTGCTGCGAGCGTGCACACATGTGTACAAGTGCATGCACACACACACACACAAACATGCCAGCCCCAGTGTCACACAAGTGCCTTCCAAGCTCCTCGTTCCTCCAGAGAGAATCAGTGACTCTCCAGGAGCTTTGCATCCCCTGCTGCTGAAAACACTCCCACAGCTAGGATGCGCCTGGCCTGCCAAGCCTTTAGGAGGCAAACGGTAGCTCTTGGGCACAGTGGAAACCAGGAACAGGCTGCCCGAAGAACAAATCCTGGCCTGACTATTCCCAACTCACTTCAACCAGGCCGGCGAGAGCAGCCTGCCTTAGCTGGTGCCCTTCATCCACCACAAACCACGTGTAGGGCCTTCATAGCACTGGCCTCAGTCCAGAATAGTCGCTCTTCCTGGGGCCCACCCAGGGCCTGCTTCTGGACCACACCAGAAAACATGAGTGGGACAACCAGGCCACCAGGGGGCGCGCTTGCTCAGCCCGTGCAGGAAGCTGACCCCAAAGGCTGGCCCAGGTGTGTATGGGATGTCTCATCCTGGCTGTTTCATTTTCTGTTATTTTTGTGCATCCTGTCGTATTCTGCAGAAGATCTGGGGCACTTCGCCTCAGCCCTGCTCACTGAAGATACACTCCCTCTGGATCTTGGCTTGCTCCTGTCCATCTGAGGTCACAGGCCAGTGAGGACTCAAATTCACAGGGCAGGGCTGAGGAAGGCCTGACTCCCCCTCCTTCCCAGCTCATCTCCGGAGGAAGGAAGCCCACACCGTGCTGGGCACCACCCCTGCTTCCTTGGAGACGCAAAGGAGTGGTGTCGAAGTTCCTCCTGGGGAACAAGACGTGAGGGGTGAGGACAGAAGGAAGAGGACGTGCTGCAGAGAGTGCTGGCAACCAAGGGGTAAGTGTAAGCGTCACCCCCAATGCAAAGCAGCCTGAGTCACAGCACATGCAGAGCCAGTGAGTGAGGGTCAGAGACGAGGGCCCCCAAAGTTAGCCATCAGCACCCCGTGAACAACGACGCAGGCAGGACATTCAGAATGAGCCCAGCCGACTCACGTGTAGGACTCAAAATCTCCATTGCTTATGGCTTCAATCAGCTGCTCTGTCACTTTTATAATCTCCTGTTTCCGCACTGTAAGGCAGGAGGGGACACAGACAACAGTGATAACAGAGAGAGTAACGGCAGCGACTCCCAGCGCCTGAGTCCTTCCGCGTGCCAGACCCTGTGCTGGGATCTGAGGCCCACGGGTGGGGGACCTCACTTCTCCCTTCGTTGTCCCTCAGAGAGGCATCGTTGCTCCCATTTCACAGAAAATGAAACTGAGGCCCAGATAGGCAAAAAAAAAAAAAAGGTGTGACCTCAACTCCAAAAAGCAGAGCCAGTTTCTCAGTTGCAGCCTTCGCCTCCGAAAATCCTGCATCAGGACATCCAGACTCTGAGCCCACGTTTTCACCCCAGTCACCTTAGTTATATGAATTGAAACTGGACCAACTGCAGGGGCTTGCCATGGCCCAAACTGGGGCCTCTAAGGAACCCTAGGGCTTACCTACCCGTGAGCCTGGGTGAGGTTTTTTGTTCCATTTGAGTTCCCATAGAAATCAGGTGCCGACTCAGAACTTTCTAATGAATCCCAGTTGCTGAGACTGGCCTGTTTGACACTGAAAACCACGACACCACCACACACAGCTGGTCTTTTTGGTAGAGAGTAAAACGCCAGTTTTCTTATTCAATATGTGATGTTCTGAGCCTCCGTTTCCCCATCTGTAAAATGGGAACAGCACCGCCTCTCGTTCATTTGGCGTGGAACATGTCATGGAAAGGGCCCAGGCTTCAGTCCCAGACAGATGACCTGAATTCCAGCCAGGTCCTCACAAGCTCTGCAGCTGTGGGCCACAGGCCGTGTGCCGGGCTTTCAGATGGAGACAATGGCGCCCTCCTCCGAGGGCTGCTGTGAGGGCGGGATGATGTGATGGACACAGAGCACTTGGACCAAAGCCTGGCACATAGCAGGTGCACGCCAGGAGTACAGCCGTTTCCTGTAGCCCCTTCACACTCCCACCCCACCAGGGCCAGCTTCCTCTGCTGCTCACAGATGCCCCAGGAGGTAGGCCAGTGTCCTCCATTTTCACATGAGGTGACCAAACCTCAGAGTGAAGGAATTTGAAGCTAGATGTCCGGGTTCCCAGCAGAGCCTAACAGCATCCTCCCTCGGTTTTGCAGGGCCAGGTCCTCTTCCTCTCCTGCCCCAGCTCGAGCTTAGCATCAGACTCAGCCAGCTCGTTGGCCCTGGAGCAGTCTTGGCTCCAGTTAGACACTTTGCTGGGAGGATGTTCAGGCCAGGCCTCAGCATTTCTCAGGGAGGCCTGACAGAGGTCCTACCTACCCCTTTTCTCGCCCCACGCCGTGAGCTCACTGTGGGCCCAGAGGAACAGAATGAAAGAACATCTGGGTTGGAAGAATCCTTGGAGGCTAGGGACTCAGCCCTCAAACTACTGGGGAAACTGAGACCCAGCGAGTGTGGTGACTTGCTCAAAGGACACACCGGGCAGAGCCTGGCTCCCTGTCACACCACTAACCCACACAGCTGCTTGGTCCATGCTCGTCTATCCACCAAGTCTAATGTGAGCCCTGGGGGGCCTGGGCTGTGGTTTCCCTTAGTCCACTGTGTCCCTTGAGCCCAGAGCAGGCCTGGCTCCGCAGGCCTTCACCATGGAGCACCTGAGTGCGCGTGGCGGGCTGTGTGCTGTGTGCTTAGCTTGTGGCGTCTCCGAGCCTCACAACACACCTCACTTCCATGTCACATGCAAGCAAACTGTGAAGCTAAATCGTTTGCTCCACTGGAGCATGCGGCTCCTGCTGCCCTGCCCCTGCCCAGCACAGCCCTCGGCACAGAGCAATGATAGTCGGCATCAGTTGCCACCATGTTAATTCCATCTCTCCCGGCTCCAATCAGAGTCGCCCGGGCTGGGAATAAGTCTACCTTCAGACCATGTGTGCCACCAGCTCACACAGAGGTTATGGGCCCTGTCTCTCTGGGGCCTTGCCTGGCCCAGGCATGTTGAGTGAGTGAGTGAGTGAGTGAACGAATGAGTGAATGGATGGCTCCCAACCAGAGTCCACAGCTACTGTCTTTTCTGGAATTGCTTAGGTCATCTGGTGGTCTCTGTCCCGAGGAGCTCTGAGCCTGCAATCTCCCTTCACAGAAGCTAGAAACTGAGGACGGGAAGAAGCCAGCTCCTGCCAGGAGCCACCTCATTAGAGCCACTGCCACATGGACTCAGGGGGTGATGACCCAGGAGAAGCCCACGTGTTCCCGCAGAGCTGTGGCCTCTGCACCACCTCCCTGACTTCTCTGCCTGGATTGTAAGACCTTTCCTGCTTACCATTCAATGAACCCTGCTCAGTGCCCCACCTCCTGCAAGCTGCTGCTCACTACCATCTCAGCAAATAGATGGAAGGCATGGATTCTGTAGCCAGACTCCCTAGGTTGGGATTCTGACAGTGCCACTCAATAGCTGTGTGACCTTGGGCAAGGGAATGTCCCCATACCTCAGTGTCCCCACATGTATAATAGAGATACTAATAGCACTTACCTTGCAGAGCTGTTCCTGAGGACTGAGTTAAGAATACAACAGTGGAAATAGCTAACACAAGTCCTAAAAGCCAGCTGCTCTTCCAAGCTCTTTATATCAACGCATTCATGTAAATAGCAGTGTGTGATGTAATGCATTTAGAGCAGTGCCTGGCGCTCCGTAAGTGAGAGCTGTGGCTTTAATCATCTGGAAATCTCCAAACTGGCAGTTCCTCCCAAGGATGGCCTTGGGTCTCTAGCCAGGGCAGGGAGCCGCCCCAGAAGTCTGATCTGTATGTGTGGCTCAATCTTGGTTGAAACTGTAGGGCTTGCACCCGGTGGGTCAAGTCCACCTGCACTGAAGAACAGCTCTCACTGCTTGTCCTCCTCCCGTCAATGGAAATCCATCTTCCCAAAAGCCCCTGCTTCTAGGCTGCTCTTCCTTCACTTGCCAACATGCATGGTAATTCTTGGGGCCAAGAAACAGGCACTTGCTCCTTCAGCCTCTATGACCTCCTCTGCCCTAGTCATCGCTTCTCAGGGCTCAGGGCCTCCTAAATGTGGTGTCCAGTTCCTGACTCAGGCTGGCATCTACTCCGCAAAGGCCCTTGAACTGTCTGGATGCTGAGTGTGAGTGCAGTCTCAGAGGTAGCCTGGATAATGCAGAATGCCAGGTCTGGGCTGGCGCGCTCTCTCCCCTCCACACGATGCTAACCCCCAATTAATGCACGCTGTATCTAATGCACCCTGAGACAGTGCCCGACCTGGCTGTACCTCCCATCACTCAGGACGCCACATTTTGGTAATAGTTGAAGCCTGGTGGGCAAGAATCTCTCTAGCTTTGTTCTCTGGGACAGAAGAGCTGGAGGCTGATGCTTCTAAGATCTGGACAAGTCCAGCCCGGGTCCTTTCCATGCCTTCAGCAGCCCATTTTCTATGGAAGAGGTCCAGCTGGCAACTGCTCAGGAGCAACCTCTGGCATGCTCACCTGTCATTCACCTACAACCGGGAAAGCTGAGACCTCCGAGAGGTGAAGGCGTTCTTACGAGATCACGCAGCGCATTCAGGCTGACGCGGACTGGGCATCCCTGACTGCTATTTCCCAGGAAGTTTCTGCTCTGATTCGCAAGCAGCTTTTTAGGTTGGAGAGGAAGTTAATTTTTCATGGAGCTGACCAGGAGGAGGTAGGGAGTGGGGAGGGAGCCAGGAAAGCTCTGTGCTGCTCAGAGGGCCAGAGTCCTGTGCACTAAGCCAACAGTGCTATGAAATATTAATGTCCCCTTCTTTCCTCAGGGGACAATGTTCCCTGGAGGATGACATTTCTAATTAATTTTAATGTTAGGTCAGAGTCCACCTCACCAGCTGCTGTTCTCACTTAGTAAGAAGACTTAACAAATTAACACCAGAAAATGGTTCTCTGGAAACGTTCTCTGAGGTCGGGAGAGGCGGAGGGAGGCGTAGGCATGCCTCTCTCCTGCCAGTAGGGGCAGAAGCTCCCAGTTGAGTCAGCATCTCTGGGGCTTTCGTGCATGTGGGGAAACTGAGGCAGGGACCCAGGTCCCCATTCTGCCATTAATCATTCATGCATGCCCTTTCTCCCCTCTGAATCTTGGATCCCCCCTTGCAAAGGGGCACAGATGAGCTAAAATCCAAGACTTTGCCAATCGCCCCACCCTGATATTTCTAAAGCAGAGGTGATTACAAATGTGGGCCATCAGGGTGCAGCCAAAGCCATTGCCCTAGGCGGAAAATGCCTTCGACAGCTCCCACTTCACATCAATGGTGTATACAAAATTCGCCTTTTAGTCCCAATATTTCTTTCTGTTTACCATAAACATTTATCTTAAAACAATCTTTGAGTAAAACTGATGTGCCAAGAAAATGTTACGTGGCTTCCTGTCACTCAACCACTAACTCCAGTTTGAAAAAAAATGAAATTAACATGTATTAGACAATTAGCAAACCCAACTCTCAACATGCACTTTATACACGTCCTCTCATTTCGCCTGCACAGCAGCTTTCTGAGGTTGGTACTATTATTACTGTCAAGGAAACAGAGGCCCAGAGAGTTGAGTGAGTTGTTAAGGTCACCCAGCAAACGGACTCATAGCAGTGCAGAGCCCGATCACCTCCACGGCCCCATCTGCTCTGAGGCCAGAATTACAAGGCCATGTCATCTCCTCAGAATCCCAGGCCCACCTCTTACCATTGGGACGTGCGAATGTCTTAGAATGTTCTTACCTGTGGCATCAGGGCCAGAGCTGGGAACAGGCACACAGAATACTGACTTGGCCCTAACAGGGATTTCTTCAAGATGATGTATTGGTAGAGGTGGTCTTAGTGCCATTCCAGATGTGCCTGGGGGCCAGGCTAGGATGATAGGTGCTCACCACCCCTCAGTTGGAAGTGACCAGAAAGGGACACACACATGGGATGGGGCCACTTTCCAGGCCCTTCTAGCAGGGTCAGGAAGTATGTTGTCTGCTATGCTGAAAACTGCCCTAAAGCCTTCATCCCAACTATGCAAACATATGTATGATAGAATAAAATGCTCTTTCTCATCGCTGTAATCTTTTCAAGGCAAAGTATCTGCCATCCAGAAGAAGGTCTTTCTGTTTCAGAGACTTCCCAGGTGTCCCTGATACATGCTCCAGTGTGTGAGCCCCGAGTTTACTGGGCTTCCTGTCCAGGGGAGCGAGGAGGGCTGGGTGCCAGGTGCGAACCTTGCCAACATGTGGAGGATCACTGCCCCCCAGCTCTCTGCTCCCTCCTCCAAGCCTTCAGTGCTCTCTCTGTACACCAAGGCCTCCGAGCACCAGTACCAGCCAGGCTCTAGAGCCAGACTGCCTGGGTTCAAATCCTCTGCTGTTCTCACTTAGTAAGAAGACTTAACAAATTAACACCAGAAAATGGTTCTCTGGAAACGTTCTCTGAGGTCGGGAGAGGCGGAGGGAGGCGTAGGCATGCCTCTCTCCTGCCAGTAGGGGCAGAAGCTCCCAGTTGAGTCAGCATCTCTGGGGCTTTCGTGCATGTGGGGAAACTGAGGCAGGGACCCAGGTCCCCATTCTGCCATTAATCATTCATGCATGCCCTTTCTCCCCTCTGAATCTTGGATCCCCCCTTGCAAAGGGGCACAGATGAGCTAAAATCCAAGACTTTGCCAATCGCCCCACCCTGATATTTCTAAAGCAGAGGTGATTACAAATGTGGGCCATCAGGGTGCAGCCAAAGCCATTGCCCTAGGCGGAAAATGCCTTCGACAGCTCCCACTTCACATCAATGGTGTATACAAAATTCGCCTTTTAGTCCCAATATTTCTTTCTGTTTACCATAAACATTTATCTTAAAACAATCTTTGAGTAAAACTGATGTGCCAAGAAAATGTTACGTGGCTTCCTGTCACTCAACCACTAACTCCAGTTTGAAAAAAAATGAAATTAACATGTATTAGACAATTAGCAAACCCAACTCTCAACATGCACTTTATACACGTCCTCTCATTTCGCCTGCACAGCAGCTTTCTGAGGTTGGTACTATTATTACTGTCAAGGAAACAGAGGCCCAGAGAGTTGAGTGAGTTGTTAAGGTCACCCAGCAAACGGACTCATAGCAGTGCAGAGCCCGATCACCTCCACGGCCCCATCTGCTCTGAGGCCAGAATTACAAGGCCATGTCATCTCCTCAGAATCCCAGGCCCACCTCTTACCATTGGGACGTGCGAATGTCTTAGAATGTTCTTACCTGTGGCATCAGGGCCAGAGCTGGGAACAGGCACACAGAATACTGACTTGGCCCTAACAGGGATTTCTTCAAGATGATGTATTGGTAGAGGTGGTCTTAGTGCCATTCCAGATGTGCCTGGGGGCCAGGCTAGGATGATAGGTGCTCACCACCCCTCAGTTGGAAGTGACCAGAAAGGGACACACACATGGGATGGGGCCACTTTCCAGGCCCTTCTAGCAGGGTCAGGAAGTATGTTGTCTGCTATGCTGAAAACTGCCCTAAAGCCTTCATCCCAACTATGCAAACATATGTATGATAGAATAAAATGCTCTTTCTCATCGCTGTAATCTTTTCAAGGCAAAGTATCTGCCATCCAGAAGAAGGTCTTTCTGTTTCAGAGACTTCCCAGGTGTCCCTGATACATGCTCCAGTGTGTGAGCCCCGAGTTTACTGGGCTTCCTGTCCAGGGGAGCGAGGAGGGCTGGGTGCCAGGTGCGAACCTTGCCAACATGTGGAGGATCACTGCCCCCCAGCTCTCTGCTCCCTCCTCCAAGCCTTCAGTGCTCTCTCTGTACACCAAGGCCTCCGAGCACCAGTACCAGCCAGGCTCTAGAGCCAGACTGCCTGGGTTCAAATCCTAATCCCCTCCCCCTTTACAAGCCACATGACCACGAGCCAATTTATCAACCCCTCTGTTCTATTCCTCAGCTGTGGAATAGGGTTTATCCCAGTGCCAGGTTCATAGGGCTGCCATGAGCCTCCATTGCGAGTCCAGATCAAGTGCTGGGAGCAGGACTAGTCACAGGCAGCCATGACAGCCTTGCTGTTTCCTCTCCTACCATGTGGTCACAGCTCACTGGGGTTTGCCTACTCGTCCATCTGGGGGCTTTTGAGGGCCACTGTAAGTCACCCCTTCCAGTGGCCCTGCAGTTTCGGCTGGCTTTGGGCAGTGTTGCCCGTGCTGGCCAACTGAACTCCCCGAGTTTTGCTGTCCCTTCCTTTACCTTCCTGTTGGAACTATCAACTCACTTCAACCAACCAACCAAACAAAAACCTTCAACATTTCTCAAGGAAAATCTACGCCAGGAGTCGAGTACATTCCATTTCTCTCTGCTGCTCACTGAAGTAAATATAGAATCTCCAAAATAAGAGAAACCCATCTGGGGCCACCAGTGGTTCCCGCGCCACGTGGGAAAACCACACCCCTCAGTGTGTCCTGTCTATAAGGAGCCTGAATGAGGCTCCCTCCAGGAGAGCAGGACACGAGGCTGGCACTAGGGCCCTTTCAGGCGGGGAGCTGTGGGTGAAGGGCCTGCCGGCTGTGACCAGCAAGGCTGGGGGCCCAGGCCAGGCCCCTGCCTACCTTTGGTGTCTTCGTCCTCAATGGTGGTGTTGGTGCTCTCTGAAGATTCCTGCCAGAGAGAACACAGGAGGCGGTGAGGCCAGCCTAGCCACAGGGGGAAGCATGGCCAGTGGTGGCTGCCCGGCTGCCTGGCGATGCGGCCCGGCGTCTGTCGTCCTCGCGGGCTCTGCCATCCCGCTGCTGCACTGAAACCCTGTCACTCTCCAGCCTAAGAGGGTAAGGGCCTGGGTCAGCAGGCAGCTGGGGAGGGGCAGGAGGAAGCGAGGGCTGAGGAGAACCCTGGCCTTTCTGGAAGGGTGGAGGGGAGTTCTTGAGTCCTTTCTGCTCAAGGGGCAAGGAGGAAGTGAAGGAGCAGAGAGACACCATGGCGGCCACAGAGTGGGGAAGGGGTACACACACTGGCAGGAGAGGAAGAGAAAAGAGGGGCCAGTGTGAGACAGGGGCCTTGCAGAGGGGAGAGAAACCACACAACTGAGTGAGTCAGCAACAGAACCAGAAGAGGGACGTGGGTCACCATGCCACCACCGGAGCCCCTAGGCGGCTGCAGGGCCAGAGGTCCTGTGCCACTGGCAGGCCTGGGTAGCTTTGCACAAGCTCAAGAGGGGCCTCGACGGCACCTGCTGCTTCGGCCAGACCAAGCCCCGCCCTCACCGCAACCTGCACAAACCAAGCCCTGAGATGAGTTCTAGAGCGGAGGAGCAGGGAGAAGCGAGAAGCCACTGGCTGGACGCAGGATTGGGTTCGAATCCACCTGCGTACCGAGGGAAGTCTCAGGTCTGCTGTCGGCCTGCTGGTCTGGGCTGTTGAGTTGGAGGTGTCAACAGAAACACACCAACAACACGCACACACAACACACATGTTGTCACACAAGGCACACGTACCAAGCACGCCCTGAGCACCCTCTCCCCGCCCCAGGTTCCCAGTGCAGCCTGCAGGAATGAGGCAGGAGCAAGGGTTCGAGACCCAGCATTTACCGGCGTTTAGGAGACGGCAGACACTCACCATTAACTGAACGCTGGAACTGGACTTTCTTTTCTGGAAAAACAAGGAGAAGAGATGGGACAGGAAAAGACACAGCGTGAAAACGGCAGGGAGCAGAACGACAGGAGAGGTTGGAAGGAGGATGGGCCTCAGGGTCATCCTCGGTGGTGGTGGTCCTCTGCCAACTTGGCATGGAGACAAGGAGTCAGGGCCACCGGTAAGAGCTGACTGGCAGGGCCAGCCCCCTCAGCCTGAAGCTCTGGGCCCTCACGCACAGCTGCCTGGGCCTGTCGCTCTGACGACCACGCTCCAGGCCAAGCCTCCCTTGGACCAGGGCTACCACTACACCTGGCTCTTTGATGCCGGTTGCCCAAGGCCTCCAGAACCCACTGGTCTTGAACAAAGGATGCTAAGGTCTGGAGATGAGGCCTGATGTCTCTTCCTAGGCTCCCATGCCTGGCGGCTGTGAACACCCCACGGCCAGTTGAGTGTCGTGGTCACTTGGGAAACTGGTCAGAAATATAGAGAACCAGGTCCCCATCCGAGGAGTCTGATAACTCAGTCTGGATGGGGTTGGGTGTCTCCATTTTCAACAGTATCCCAGGTGATTTTAAAGCAGGGCCAGGGAGAGAAGCCGGCTCTCTTGGCAGCCTTTGAAATCCTGCTCGTGCTCACGGATTCCCAGTCACTGGCCTATCAGCCTCTTTATGCTGACACAGAAACTGAGGCACAGCAGGAAGTGAGTCCTGTGGACCAGCCCTTTGGCCTGCCCTAGTACTGGGGGGATCTGTAGCATCCCTTTATTGGCTGTGGGACCAAGGGAAGGGGCCAGAGGAACAAAAGGAGACCACCTCTGCCTCACTCAGTTTTCGGAGTCCTAAAGACTCACATTCATGGAAAGTTGCAGGTCAAAAGTGACACTTGCATTATGCAGATAAGACACGGAGCCCAGAGAGGGCCAGTGACCTGCCCAAGGGCTCTGGGCAAGCTACTAGCAGAGCCGAGGCTAGAACCCAGGCCCTGACTACAGGGCTGTTTCTTCTGCTCGGGTTTCCAGACACCCACAGCCTGAGCCTTCTTCAAAGGCTCATTCTACCCCAGATGCCCCTATCTGAGAGCCTGGGGGGGCCCTCTCCCTGGTACGCTGTACGGGGGCAAAGAAGGGACTGAGATGCCCCGGGGTAGGCCTTTGCCATGGAGAAGCATCAGATGTTCCTGAGGTCTCGGTTCTAATTCTGGGCTTTCTGACTCCAAGGTCCAGTGAGCCTCTACATGCCAAGAACCTAGGATCCTGCACCTCCCTCCAGGACCTCCACAGATGCAGGGGAGGTGGCACCCTGGATGTCCCCAGGGCCCATGTGCTGCCGGGGCACAAATGCTCCCAACCCTAGCCGGGCTGCACGTGTGACTTCCACAGCCAGCAGCCTGCAGCCAGCACCCCCACTCCTTTCCTGCCCTCCTCTCTCTCTTTCTTGTCCCCTCTCTTGCTTCTCTCCTCGCCTCCCCTCTCCTTCTAGTGTCGGCCTCACTCCCTGGCTGGAGCCAGGCCAGGCACAGTGTGTGTGAGTGGGGGACGGGCCCACACAGCTCAGCCGTCAGCAGAAACCTGAGGAGCCGCGCAGGGGCCAGGAGGTTCCAGGCGGACACGAGGAGGGAACACAGAGCAGAGACTGCATCAAGTTCGGACGCACAGTGACAGGATGGGACATGGGGAGAGAGGTCACGACGGCACGGATGGGACACCAACAGGGGCAGTGAGTGGGGTTGAGGGGTAGGGGCAGCCGGCCCCGCTGCATTGAAGCCCAGGCCTCGGGACGGCTGGGAGGAGGGCACTACTTGGTGACAGGCTCAGTTTCCCTGAATCGCAAATGACGACGATGCTCATAATGCCACCTTGACCAGCACTTGGAGTTTGATTTAAAAGGAAGGTTCACCAAAAGCAGAATCTTTCTGAACCAGGTGTAAAAGCCTGGTCCTAGGTTGGCAAGGACAGCAGGAGCCGAGTAGGGTCAAGTTAGCCTTGAAGAGACCTGAAAAGCCCCCCAGTGGAGGAGAGTGTCCTATCTCTGCGTGTTCAGCCGTTCAGCTCTTCTCTTAGGCCCCAGATGGAACCGCCGTGTCTCCTGGTCCGAGTGCTAAGGAGGATGGGTATGTCCCCTCTGGATGAGTGGGCGTCACTTCAAGGAGTATACTGTGGCTCCACCAGGCCACTCTGTTGTGACCCTCTCACAGCCCCCCACAATCAGCATTTGTGCTCCCCTCATGCAAATGTCAGGCCAATAGCCTGGTCCCCCAAGGGAGTGAATGGTAGGGCCCTGCCTCAGACCCCTGGCTTCTTGACTTCGGGTCCTGTTTCACCTGTACTGTCTACACAACTGGACCCCGCCCCTCACTGCTCCCCCTACTCCCCTAGGGAGCAACGTGTGGCAGGCCAGGCTCACCCCAACCCGGGCCTGGACTCTGGGTTTCTCCTGTCCTCCAGCTGGACTGCCTCCCTCTCTATCCCAAGGGTGGGAAGGATGCTGCACTACACAGAGACAGTTAGGCCTTTGTGTTTTCTTCATCCACGCCCAGGCCACCTTGAGACATCACTCGGGGTCTGCCCTGTGCTGCAGGAAGCAGTGGCACTTGTTCAACTGGGCCCACTGCAAAACCCTGCCATGACCAGCAGACCTACACCATGCTACGAGCTGCCCTATCCTGACAGCCTCTACCATCTGGCCGTGCTGGAGAAGAGTCAGGTTAGAACCATGTCCCAAGACCCAGCCCAAGAGGGATCCCTCCCGACTCCAAACCCGGCAGCTCATCAGCCTTTGCCAGAGTCACAGTCACAAAGCCAGGCAGATGGGGCAGCCTCTCCCTCTGCCCCTCCTCCTCTACCAGCCTGGGCCACAGCAGCCCAGTGCTTGAACCTCTGCCCTCACATCCCCCAGACCAGGGTCAGGGAGAAAGCTTTCTCCAGGGGGTCTAGCACCCCAGCTCAGACTACACATCCAGGCCAGAGAGGGCCTCAGCTTCTCCAAACATTGCACACCCCTCCATTATCCTTTCGCTCTGGGGAAGGGGGTGCTCAGGGGTAACCCAAAATTCAGGCAATACAAAATGCAATGCTAGAGTCATGGCAGGATCTGAGGTGAACACGTTAACTTTAAAAATTGGGTTGGCTTTAGGCCCATGGTTTCCAAATGGTTTGGTTTTTGTTTTTGTTTTTTTTTTCCCAAATGGTTTTTAAGAGAAATCTTACCCGAAAGTCTGATATAAAAACAGGGAAAATACAATTCTGACTAGCATCCCATGAACACGCATCGCACACCAGCAACGTGCTAAGCTTTCAATGCACTTCATCTTTGTTAATCCTCACTAATAGCTCTGGAAGTGGGAACCCCTTTTAACCTCACTGCACGAAAGAGGAAACAGGCTCAGGGAGCTGAAGTACCAGCCAAGTCTAGCCACCAGTGAGCCCGCCAGGCTCTCCTGACCACGTGACGGCTGTTATGTGGTGCTGTTCTGGTCACGGTGGGCATGAGAAGCCGTGGACTCTGCCTCCCGTGTCCAATCCACTCCAGCTGGGGCTGGAGGAGCCTCCTCGGAACCTTTACATTCAAACTCTTCAAGAACCAAAGCGTTCCGTTTGAGAAGCATTCACTTTGATAACCAGTTACATATTTCTCAAGCACCCAAGATGAGAAAGGTGAGGGACTAGATAGGGTTTGTGGTTTCTTCATCTGGTTTTAAAGCTGACACCTTGGAAAGGATCCGGAAGCCCACATGCTACCCCTTATATTGACGGGGAAATTCAAGCTGAGAGAAGGCCGTGGGCAGACAGGAGGCCCGATCCTCGTCTTGAGCACCCAGCCCAGACCCTCTCTCATGCAACCCATGACAGACCAAAGCCAGCGGCCTGAGACCGTGAGTGCCACCATGAACAAAGCCATGAAGCCACCAGCACACCTGGTGGCTGTGTTCATTCAGCATTCCACACCTTCCAATGCCCTGGGCACAGCCTGGCCCTGGAGCTCCGGCCAGCCAGGGATTGGAACCCAGAAGAAGGCAGGGTCTCAAGAGATGAGAACCCACAAGGTGATCGAGGGGCAAGGGAGGGGGAGCTGCAGAGAGCAGGGACCAGGCCCCAGAGAGCAGAGGGAGAAGAGAGAAGAGACGGGCGGGAGGGGCTGGCAGGGTGTGCAGGGGAGTAGCTCGGGCAGCAGGGGCTGCGTGGGGCAGGTCTGGTGGGGTGGGGAGAGAAGGGATTCTTAGCATTGAACCAGCGGGCCTCTGCAGGGAGGGGTATCTCTGGACTCCAACGCCTAGAGGAGTGGCTGTCCACCCTCCGAGGGCTCTCTGGGCTGGACTAGGGGGTGCAGCAGGTCGGGTGCCCAAGGCAGCCCACCTGTCCACGGGAAGGAGGTCAGCCCTCGTGACCATTTCCGGCCCCTCCTTGCACCTTCACGCTCACTAGTCCTCCAGCTCTGGAGAACCACAGCATCCCCTCGGACCTGCCCCTTCCCTTGCGCTGCCCCAGCCCCAGGTCACCTGCCTCTCCCACCCTTCTTTGTCCTTCCCCCCACCGCCCCCCCCCCCAATCACAGGAGGGGGGGGCCCTGAAGCCCAGGTCTGTGGGTTTAGGGATGGTCTGGCCACTGATGTGACCCGAGCCTGCCCAGAACACCATCAGCAAGGCCCGGGTCTCGCCCCAGGCCTGAAAGCCGGTCTCTGTTGGCAGAAAAGCTGCCAGAACAGGTCCTGCCAGGCTCCCGGGGCACTTACCTTCACACCATCGTTCTTCTTGTTTCCTCCACTCTTCCCCCCTGTGGAGGAGAGAAAGTAGAGGGTTAGCAACACCAGGCAGGGCACAAGGGCCCACAGGGTGAGGAAGAGCAGCATCCTCGGGCAGCCAGAGGGCAGATGCACGGGAACCAGAGCAGCCCGGAGTCCTGGGCACGCTTCCTCTTCTTCCTCTTCCTCCTCAGAAGCCCGGGCACTGCCGAGGGCCCCCAGACAGGCCAGGGCTCCCTGGTTCTCGACAATCTCAAGCGTAACCCTCTGGCTTCATGGGTCGAGGGCGGTGTCCAACATGTCCCCAGACCGTGGGATTGCTGTCTCAGCCTGGGGATTCCCTCTGGATCCTGGTCACCACTGTGCTGGTGGTGGCCAACCCAGAGGCCCGGCCGCCTGGCCCGGGGCTGGACGCTGCCTCCCCCCAGTCCTCTCTAATTTTAGCCCCACGCTGCTGCAGAGGTCATGTGTCAGCCCTGCCTACTCACTCTGGACAGCTGCAGGCTGCGTCTCGCCAGTGACAAGAAGCAGATGCCCCCAGCGGGGCCCACTCCGGCCAGAGCTCCCATCCTTCGCCTTGCTCTGCGGGCGGCAGAGGCCACCCCAGCCTCAGACTCTGGAGCCCCACGCTGGGGCAGCCTGTGTCCTTGGGGGCCCAGCAAAGCAGAGCACCAGCTTTCAGGGAGGCCCTTTCCTCCCTCCTGGCCTCCTGGCCAGAGTCCTGGGAGTGGGCACCAGCCAGGAAACGGCATGAATGCCCAGTCCTGCCCATGCTGGCATCCGGCTGCTTCAGGCCTTAGGAAGTGCCTTAAGTGAGACAAGCTGTCTGTGAGGTACTCAGCACAGCACTTGAGCAGTAGGCGGGGGATGTTTGGGAAGTGGCAGCCATGATGCGTCCTTCTCTTGGTGGCCTGGAGCAGTTGGGCTGGGGTAGAGGCACAGAACACTGATGTCACAGGGGCTCTGAGGGGTGGGGCTCACGGCTGCTCTAGCTTCCCAGTCACCCCACATTTCTACTCTGACCCCTTCCAGGCCATCAGCTACAGCTTCTCAATCACAAACCAAGGGGCAGGAGGGACCTCTCGATCCCACAGTTGACAGCAATGGCTGCCCACTCTCTATGGGCATTGAGGGTGGGCAGAGGGAGTGCTTGTCCCTCAAACCTCAACAAGAGCCCCTCTCAGTTCCAGCCACTGTTACAGGATTGTGGTTCAGCAAGGCCGCAGATCCTGATCTTTAAGAGCCAACAGAAATCTCGGTTGTTCTATGAAAGCCCCTGATTTCAGGACCAGCAGTTAGTGTAATGGCTATGTTGCTGGACTCCCATGTAGTCGACCACGGTTCGCATCCTGGAGCCGGTGACTTAAAACTCACACCGGGTGCGTGTGCATGCGTACCCAAGATCCCGAGAGGAGAATGGAGGAGAAGGGATTGCGGCGTGGCCATTTCCCCTGGGGGGGTGATTTCTCGCTTTCTGTCTCTCTGTCTCTCTCTGTCTGTCTGGCGAGCGCACGTACCCTATGGCAAAAAAACTCTCAAAAAAAAAAAAAATCCCCTGATTTCCAAGTGCTAGAAAGCCATTCCAAAGATTGTCTGAAGCGTCTCTGGTTCCACGGAGCACGCTTGGAGGTTAGCTCCAATCCACAGGTCACCGTCTGCGAGCTCTGGACTGGCGCACTGTAGGGCACCTCCGTCGTTAAAAAAAGACTCTGACCGAGTGGCTCATCTTTCAGTCTAAGGAACTGTGGGAGCCTTGTTGAGGCACAGGACAGGAAGGCAGTTCATCGTGATGGGAAAAGCCCAGGCCCAGTGTCCCAGCATGTCCCCACCTCTGTGACTCTTCTCGGCTGGTTACACAGGCAGGACCTGCCAGGCCAGTGCTGCACCCTGCTCAGAACTGACCCTTGCTGTGCTGCCGGCTAACTATGTCGGCAGCGGCCTCAGCCAGAGGGCCCCTGGGGTGAGCTCTGCTATATCTGCTCTGCTGCCCTGTCAGCGTCCTGGGCTCCCCAGAGAGAAGCCTCTGGCAGTTGCTGGCCCGGCATGCTCCAGTGTGCCAAGAGGAGCTGCTTGCTAAGCTCTGACAATAATCCCGTCCTCTTCTCTCTTTGGGACCACATGCCACAGAAAACTGGGCATGCCCTGCCTTTCCAGCCCAACTTTGGCCAAGGGCCTGGGAGGCTCCTGCCCTGGGGTGCCTGGTGACTGGCCTTTTTTTTTTTTTTTTTTAAAGAAGAATTACTTACTTATTTTTATTTAATGATTATTATTGAGTTATCAGGAAAGTCATGATATATTTTTTCTATGGTTTTCTATGCAAAATGTGTCATGACTTTTCCAACAACAATTATTATTTTAAATTTGACCAGAGAGAGAAAGAGGGAAAGTGAGAAGCAAGCTTCCAGGTCCAGGACTCAAATCACACTTGACCATATGGGAATCCAGTTCCTTAACCACCACGCCACCTGCTGGCCCCATGACTGGTCTTTAAAGGAACTTGCTCTGGGGTAACCACACCTGCACTGAATGCAGGCTCCTCTCACTAGCTGTCACCTGGGGCCAGTCGGAGCTCTCTTCCCTGAGTGTCCTCATCCAGTCTGGAGAACAAGGGTGGCAGCAGCCTTGTCGTGAAGGCCACCTGAGCAGAAACGCAGGGCCTGCTCAGTACAGGCCTCCAACAATGGTGGGTAATATGGCACCTCCCTCGGCTTGGCTCCACCCCCCCCCAGGACCAAACCCCCAACATTCCAGAAGCTTTCTCTGGCTGACCCAGCCTGAGAACCCCACCAGTGCTGTGAGGGGAGGGGATCAGACCAAACCTCTTACCAGTCCTGCTTGCTGACCTTTGACCCCTACCCACTTCTGGTATAGGTGTATGGCAGGAAAGCAGCCTCTCTGCAGCCCCACTCTGCCAGGCACCCTGGCCTGGGGGCACCCACACAGCTGACAGGACAATGTCCCCAGCAGACCAGCACAGACATGTCACGGACTCTGAGGTCCCACCACCTACCAGAGAAGTTCCTGGTGGCCAGCATAGTGGTGAGAATGGCTCCCTGCAACAGACAAGAGGAGGGACAGAGGGAGGAGCCACAGGTGAGGGGGCAGAGAAAGGGGAGGGGCGGGGGAAGGAGAGCCAGAACTTCATTGGAGCTAAGGAGGTAAGGCGGATGCCTCTGCCCCTGCCCTTCCGTTTGCCCTCCACCCCCACCCACAGCCCGAGCCCTTCCACCACCTCTCTGGAGAAGCCGGAGTAAGCTGGGCATTACCCGGCATAGCTCCCGGGACAGAGCCACCTTAGGAGCAGATACTGCTAGGTCTGCTAGGCTGATGGACTCGTGGACACCCACCACGGGGCTCCTAAGGGATACAGATGACTCCTGCCCAGGTAAAGAGGCGGACTGCGGGAAGACACCCTTTGTCTGGCTGAGAGCATCTCACTCCAGACTAGTCTGATCTGCCCCAGCTCCTGGGCTCAGAGCCCTGCAGGATCCCCAATATGGAGAAGCCTCCTCTGAAAGTGAGGGGTCAGGGGCTAATATCACTTCCGGCTCTGACACCGTCCAGTTCTGACCCAGCGTGGACACAGTCTGAATCCGCCAGTCTGGGGTGTTGAGAACCTGATCCTGACATCTCGAGACTTCCTCTGTGACACGGCTCCCACTGCAGGGTGCGGGTGGGACTCAGTTCTCCTGGCATCATGCCAGCCACCACCCTGAGCCCTCATACCCTTCCTGAGCCTCCAGCCAGGCCCAGAAGCAGTGGGTGAGGAGGTGCCTGATGAGCTGGGGCCCTCTGATGGGCAGAGGCTCTGCTGTCCCAACCAGTTGGGGGCCCCTTGGGGCCTGGCAAGAGCTGGATCAGGAGCTGCCATGGCCCCGACACATAGGACTTGCTGGGAGGCCAAAGCTCAGGGCCCACTGTGGCATCTTCAAGGTCACCACTATTCTCTAGGTGTCTTGGTCATTCCTTCCCAGGACTGCAGCTGGGTCTCCTGCACAGTCCCCTACCCAGAAACTCTCCTCAGCCCCCCTGCACCACTTGCAACCCCTACAGGGCTGTGCTTGCACTTGCGGACTTGCCCACCCATTGGTCACTCTTCTCATTCTGACTCTCTGCTTTGCTAATCCCTGCTTATCTTTCAGTGTCTCAGCTCAAATGCCACCAGCTCCAGGAAGGCTTCCTGGGGTTCTTCCCCAACCATTCCAGACCTGGGCATGCATTGCCCTGCTGTGCTCCCACCGCCTTGGGGCCTGCCCAAGCACAGCACTCACCACTGCCCCGTACTGTCCTGTGCACTGGTCTGGTCTGGCCTCCGCACGAGACCAAGAGCCCAGCCATGGAGGGGCGGTGTCTAACTCCACACACTCCCGCAAAGCCCAGTCCGCTGTCCAGCGTGCAGCGGGCATTCAAGAGGTGCTTGGGTCGATGAAGGAGAGAAGTGGTGAGTGAGTATCTCAGCCTCTGTGGAGACCCAGGCTGAGCTGCTCCCACGCCTGGGGTGCAGAGAGGGGGGACCCATTACCTTCAGTTTTCTCCTGGCGTTGAACTTCTTCAGGCAGTCCACGGTCTCCTGTCTGTGCATGCAGGAGGCCACAGTGGATCGGTGCTGGAGGAGTGGGGGAGAGGTGTGAGCGGGAGGCAGGGAAGACAGGCCTCCCCAAGGGGCCCTTGGCAGAGTGTCTTAATGGAGGTGCAGTTGGCATCTTGGGGAAACGATTATTTGTTCTAGGGGATACTGCAGGGTACGTAACCTCGGGGCATCAGACGTGCAATGTCAATAGTACCCCTAGTCATGACACCAACCCAGAGCACCCCTCGTGTCCACATGACCCCTGAGAACCATGGCAGGTCACAGTCTCTTTGAGCAGAGGGTCCAAGGGCAAGGCCAGGGTTTTGTGGGGGCCTGGATTCATAGGTCCAAGGGGACTCCTAGGAGGGGCCTGCTGAGGAAGCTCACCGAGATCCAGGGGTGTTTAAGGGCCTCGGCCGCTGTGATGCGTTTGGACGGGTTGATGGTCAGCATCTTATTGATCAAATCCTTGGCTTCTGGGGTGACAGTGTCCCATTCTGGTGATGGAAACTGGAAGGGGCAGAGGGGCCAGGTTTGCCCAGCCTGCCCCAGGCCACCCCTGCGATCTCCCAGCCCCTGACTGGCAGGGGAGCAGGCAGGGGTCCCAATGCCCATCCACTTGGGCACCCACAGCCAGGAGGAGTTGGGGATTCTCAATGTAGGGACCCTTTTGGACCAGAGAGGGGGTGGGGCTGCTGACTCCAAGATGAATCAGAATTACGGCCAGAGGGAAAGGAGATCTTCTTCAGTCATACTAAGTCTGGTCTTATCTGGAGAGTGGCAGGTCAGTGGTTATAGCTCAGACTTCAGAATTAGAAGGCCTGGGTTCAAGTCCTGATCTGTCTCATGAGCTATGTGACTGGGTAAGTCATGTGACCTCTCAAGCCATCACTAAAGAGGTCATGAAAATTCAAGACACTGTGAAACACACAGCCCATAGCTGAATAGACATCAGCTGGCAGAAAAGCAGTAGAGCTCGGTCGTCAGAAAGAAACCTGGATGTTAGAGCCAGACTACCCAGGTTCAAGTCCCAGCTCCAACACTTCTGAGCTATGTGATCTGGGCACTTACCTAACCTCTCTGTGTCTCAGTTTCCTTATCTGGAAGGTGGGAATAATCGCAGTACTATGTCGCACTGGTGTGTGGATTAAAGGTAGTAACGTGTGTAAAACACTCAGAAGAGTGCTGTCGAAGTGTTACTATTATTATTGGCACATGCCAGAGACAGAGAAAGAGGAAACCTGTCTCGGGGTCCTGCCCCTCTCCTGCTCTCCACTCGAGCATGCGATGCTGCCTCTGCCCACAGGGTTAACTCCATCACTTTGAGTCCGCCGTCTATAGTGTCTAAAGTGTCGGCATGGTCATTGCCTGACCTTGGACTGTCTCCAAGCTCCCCTGGAGTTCATCCTCCACCCCTGAGCTACAGAGTGCCAGGGGACCTGCCTGGTCAGGGAGGCTGTGGGCATCATCAGATCTCTGCCAACGGGGTGTTGGCTTGCACTGGAAGGGGGTCCGAGGGGGGGGGAGCTGCAGAGAAGAGTGACACTCACATCATAGGCGCCGGCTTTGATCTGCTGGTACAGGCGGTGCTGGTCCTCGTCCCAGAACGGGGGGTATCCAACCAGCAGAATATACAGGATCACCCCTGGAGAGAGGACCAGGAGAACCTCAGCCCGCTGCAGGGTGGGGAGGTGAGTGACAGGAAAAGACAAAGGAGCCCCCAGGTGGGGGTGACGGGGGGTGGATGGGGGACAAACGGGCTTTGGACAGACTCACCACAGGCCCACAGGTCCACAGGCTTTCCATATGGATCCTTCCGCAGCACTTCTGGGGAGAGGTATCCAGGCGTCCCTGCAAACCCTGCTCCCCAGACACACAAACAGGTAGACACATACACAGAGGGTGGCGGGTAAGTAACCTGGAGCAAGCTCCTGCCGGAAGAGAGGACGAGGGTTGTCCTGGAGTTGGGAAAACAGCTCCTGCCTCGGAAAGCTTGGGTTGCATCATGCGACCTCAGCAGTCCCAGGCAGTCAGCCTGACCTGGTAAGGCAGCAAAGCCTCCAGACCAGGGGACAAGTACATAGCCCACCCTCCCTGCTCCCCGCTCCCCGCTCCCCGCTCCCCACTCCCCACTCATGAGCCTGTGTCAGACAGCAGTAGTCAATTACAGAGCGCCTTCCTCTGGGTCCTGACTCCAGGCCTTCAACTTCCCAACACAGTCCTCCTTAGCAGCCAGTTAGCTACTGGAGGCCCTCAGGGCCAAGTGTACTTCCCACTTCAGCTCTAGGCTGAGAGCTAGCCCTTGCCTCCCTGCGCTGCAGAAAGAATCCATTGAAATAATGAACATCCAAGTCTTCTAACAAATTATCCTAAGAACAGGAATGAGTTGCTGAGTACCTGTGCTAACCATTGGTCCAAAGACTTGACGTGTCCAATCCCCTGTAATCCTCGCAGCCCTTGAGAAACCGATTACCCCCACTTTACAGATGAGAAAACAGAGGCTCAGGGAGGTGAAATAACTCATCCAAAGCCATACTCCTTGGAAGTAGCAGAGTCAGGATTTGAACTTAGAGCTCTTGTTCCTAACCATTGATCAGTACTGCCCCTTAAAATGTACTTAGAGCTGGAAGGGACCCGATTATAGCAAAATCCCAAAGCATGCTGGGTCCTCTGAGCTTAGGTCCCGGCTCTACTCCTTTCAGTTTCCCTCGCCATTTTCTAAATTTCTTTCTCTCTCTTTCCTCATCTGTAATATCAGAATACTAATCTCTAGCACCCAAGCTGTTAGGGGAACTCCTTAGAGGCCTCCAGCCTCCAGCAAAGGTGTGTTCTTCTCATATAAGAAGCCATGTGACTGGCTGTGCATGGCCCTCAGGGAGGTAGGATGGACACTGCCCATTGGTTCAGAGGCCAGCTGGGTGGAGCCTGTGCTGCCCGAGGCCAGGATGGCCCAACAACCATCGCCAGGCCAGTCCTGTTGCTGCGTTAACCTGAAGGCTGACCCCCAGCCTGCCAGCCTGCCCCCACTCACCAAACCATGCCTGCTGCTCCCCCTCCACCTCTATGGCCAGGCCAAAGTCCGCCAGCTTCACTGCAGCGCCCTTGAGCTTGGAGGCCAGCAGCAGATTCTCCGGCTTCCCAGGACCAGAGGAGGAGGAAGAGGAAAGGGCCAAGAGATGGTCAGCAGATTCAGAACCTCCTCTGGGGGTCTGGGCTCCCAGAGAGACACCTGGACAAACCAGGGCCCACCTTCAGCCCCAGCCCCAGATCTGAGCTTGAGCCCCAAGATCTAAGCTTGAGTCCCCAGAAAGGGGACTATCCTATGGCAATACCTCCGTCTCCTACAACAGGAAGACCTGTCTTGCCGCAGCTCCCTCCCCTCAGGGTCCAGGGCTAGGGCTGAGGTGAGGGTGAGGATGGATGGCAAGAAGCAGCAGCATTTATTGAGACCCCACGATGTATTTTGTCTAATGGATCACCTCAGCCCTTTGGGGTAGGTATTCCTCATACCCCATTTCCACTGCGGCCTTCCTGTGCACCTGCTGCTCAGGGAGGTGAAATAACTCATCCAAAGCCATACTCCTTGGAAGTAGCAGAGTCAGGATTTGAACTTAGAGCTCTTGTTCCTAACCATTGATCAGTACTGCCCCTTAAAATGTACTTAGAGCTGGAAGGGACCCGATTATAGCAAAATCCCAAAGCATGCTGGGTCCTCTGAGCTTAGGTCCCGGCTCTACTCCTTTCAGTTTCCCTCGCCATTTTCTAAATTTCTTTCTCTCTCTTTCCTCATCTGTAATATCAGAATACTAATCTCTAGCACCCAAGCTGTTAGGGGAACTCCTTAGAGGCCTCCAGCCTCCAGCAAAGGTGTGTTCTTCTCATATAAGAAGCCATGTGACTGGCTGTGCATGGCCCTCAGGGAGGTAGGATGGACACTGCCCATTGGTTCAGAGGCCAGCTGGGTGGAGCCTGTGCTGCCCGAGGCCAGGATGGCCCAACAACCATCGCCAGGCCAGTCCTGTTGCTGCGTTAACCTGAAGGCTGACCCCCAGCCTGCCAGCCTGCCCCCACTCACCAAACCATGCCTGCTGCTCCCCCTCCACCTCTATGGCCAGGCCAAAGTCCGCCAGCTTCACTGCAGCGCCCTTGAGCTTGGAGGCCAGCAGCAGATTCTCCGGCTTCCCAGGACCAGAGGAGGAGGAAGAGGAAAGGGCCAAGAGATGGTCAGCAGATTCAGAACCTCCTCTGGGGGTCTGGGCTCCCAGAGAGACACCTGGACAAACCAGGGCCCACCTTCAGCCCCAGCCCCAGATCTGAGCTTGAGCCCCAAGATCTAAGCTTGAGTCCCCAGAAAGGGGACTATCCTATGGCAATACCTCCGTCTCCTACAACAGGAAGACCTGTCTTGCCGCAGCTCCCTCCCCTCAGGGTCCAGGGCTAGGGCTGAGGTGAGGGTGAGGATGGATGGCAAGAAGCAGCAGCATTTATTGAGACCCCACGATGTATTTTGTCTAATGGATCACCTCAGCCCTTTGGGGTAGGTATTCCTCATACCCCATTTCCACTGCGGCCTTCCTGTGCACCTGCTCCCCCCTGAGGGCCTTTGCACTTGCTGGTGCCATGCCTGGTTTGCTCTCCTCTCAGGCTGCACAGGGCTGGCCCCTTCTCTTTGCCCAGCTCTCACCTCTGTGTCAAACATATCCCAGTAGGCGCTTCATGACTCCTCCAACTAAAGAAGGTGCCCTTGGGTATCTGCCATAGCTCCTGATATTAACTTCCACCCATCTCGTAATACCCCCCACCCCCGCTATGTGCTGTCACTGCTGTGGGATGTAAGCGCCTTATCTGTCCTGTTTACCACTGTATTACCGAGGATAATGGGGGTCAGGGATCATAGCAGGCTCAGAGAGGCTAAGTGACTTGACCAAGACCACATAGCTGGAAACCAATAAAGCCAGACTGAGGCAAAGTCTGACTCCCCCTTAACAACTCTAGGCTGAAAGATGGTGGACTTGTGCATGGGGCCAGCTGACTCGGGAAGGCCCACACCTGGCCCCTGGGCACTGGCTCCGCTTCCTGTTGGTGCCTCCACCTGGGACTCAGGACAAGGGGAGCTAAGTGCCTGGACTCCCCGAGTTGATGGTCCTCGCTTTCAGCCCCAGCGCTGCGCCTTCTATGCTGTGGAACCCGGGGCAATCATTTCACCCCTCAGAGCTGTCCTTTGCTCTCCAAGCAAGGGGGATGATGCCTGTCCTGCAGTACGGGGGAATGAGCTCATCCTGCAAAGCCTTCTGGTCTGCACGGAGTGCTTCAGAGACCTTAGGACTCATATTTTCTGCTTGGGGAGGAGCTCAGAGTTTCTAGAGACAGTTGGTTTCCAATCCACCTCTGACCTCCTTCCCAGTGAGACTTGCGAGGGGCCCCACCTCTGACCCATCACTGTCCACAGCAAGGCTGGACCCAAACAAATATAGCTCCCTCTGTTTGGCTTGTTGAGGCCTCCTCTGTCCTCTGGGGACTGTGCTTCCAACATGTCCTGGGTCTCGCAGCTGTCCTGCCCTGATTTGATGAATGTGCCACTAATTAGCGTCCCTCCAGTGGCCTAAATTCGGGCTGCCTCTCCTGCTTCTCCCGTGTAGAGGCCGTAGCTATAATGGGAACAGGCCCTCAGGGAGAGCTGTCCGCAGTCTGGCCGGAGACCTGCACTCAATCCAGGGTCGCTAGACCAAGCCACGGGGGGCTTGCCTGGGGCCCAGGGGAGAAGCCATGGACTGCCATGACGGCGCTGGGCAGGGTTCCGTTCAGTCTGTGCCCATGCTCAGGGAGGGTCTCTGGGATGATAAGGGCCAGGAAACCACACCCTGGGTGATTGATCACAGAGCTCCTTCCCGGGTGGGGATGCGGAGTGCCACCTGAAACTACCCAAGTCCCTCAAGCGCTGGCCTGCACCAGCGGCCTGATTTCGGTACAGTTCCGAAGGGCAGAAATGGGGTTCAGGATGACACCCCCATAGCAGGAAAGACTGAAGCAAGGGGCTACCCCATGGGTAGTGATTCATTGTCCCTGAAGCCCAAAAGCACAGGTTCCGAGGATACCCAGCAGGGTCGCCTTAGAAACTGTTGTGTAAGTGGGAGCTGGGGTGAGCGGCTTTTTGGCACCAGATCCCAGAGGCCACGGGGCCTCGGATTAGAAGGCTGGGGCGCTCCTGTCCTAGCTCAGGCATAATTAAATGGCATGTCCCTGGCACATCCCTGGACTCTCAGTTTCCTGCTCTGCAAAATGGGGATAATTTTTCTGAGCCCGACAGGTCTGTGCAGTCTGCGATGGTGGGTCAGGCCGCGCCACGGGGCCAAGCCCAGAGTCTACACCTGCTTAGCGCTGGCACTTTCCCTTCCGGCGGAAGAGGGAGGACGCCAAGGGCCCCAAGCCCCGTTTTTCCTCTCCTCCAGCCTCCCAGACCCAGGAATAAGATTAACCCAGAGCCTGTATACCAGGCACCAGATAAAGGCACCGCTAGAGGTAGCCACACCCTCCACGACCTCTAGCAGAGGTTGCTATGGCAACTCCCATTGTAAAAGAAACTGAGACTCTGGAAGGTTGAGATGCTTGGGAGGCCCCAGAGCTTGAGAGTGGCCTAGTTGGGATTTAGACCCAGCCGGCCTTCCTCCCTGCCCAGGGCAGTCAGCCTCAGTACACATCTCGCCTGCCTGGCATGAACCCGGGTGTGAGGCCGGGGCTCGGAAGACCTGGAACCCAGACCCAGATGCTCTACCTTCCTGTGCTCGGTCTCCTCATCTGAGCTGGGATGAAAAGACTCCCACACACTTCCTGCCAGCCTCACTTGGGGAAATTAGAGGGATTCCAGTAGGCCAGCTCTGTGGGAGGTGGGACATGCGGGGAACAGAGGGGCTCTCAGGTGGGTGGCTCACCTTCAGGTCCCTGTGCACCACCCCCATCTGATGGCAGTGCAGCACCGCCTCCAGGATCTGCTGGATACAGTGACTGCAGAGAGACAGGAAGGGGTCAGGGCCATGCAGGCAGGCCTCTCCAGACACCTCGACAGCCTGGCCAGAGTGCCCTGCCCCAGCCCACTGTGCACCATCGCCAGGCCGCACCTGGCACTCACCTGGCATCAGCCTCACTGTAATACTCCCGGGCCACGATGTCTTCAAACAGCTCCCCGCCAGTGACCCTGGGGAGACAGGCTTGGAATCACCCTCCCACAGAGGCCCCAGGTGCTGCTGCGCGTGGAGTCCAAGAAAGCTCAGGGTGGGGCCCAGGGACCTCAGCACCTCAGCACCTCAGCCACAACAAGTGGGGCCCCGGGGCCACTGGGGTGCCCCCACTGCAACCTCTTCCAGTCTCCCAGCACAGCCTTCCACTGGCCACTCCACTCACTTCCTGCATCCTCTGTTCCTACCAGGGCCAGGCCAGAGTCAGGAGTGGGGCCACTCTAAGCACATGGCTGGGGTAACTGAGAAGCCAGAGGGCTATTTTTTTTTGTTCATTTGGTTGGTTGTTTTTTATAAGCTGTTTGTTTGTTTGTTTGTTTGTTTAATTTTTTTAGAGCAGTTTGGGGTTCATAGCAAAACTGAGCAGCTGGTTCAGAGATTTCCCACGTACCTGATCCCCCTGTTCGCATTTTCACAGGTGAGACCAAAGTCATTGCTGACTTTTCACTGCCAACCCAGGAACTGCTGAGGCTTTCCCTTTCATTACTGCTTTCCTTTCCATTGACTAACTTTAGAAAATTCAACATATTCCCAAAGCAAACTTTCTATCTCCACTGCAAACGCAAGCCAGCATCGCTGGCCACAAATAGAAGGGAAACAAAAATAAAAACACGGCGAAAGTTCAAAGTGTCGGTTGGTGTCTCAGGAAAACCAACTAGTGCTACTTGGGTGGCAGGTCTGCCACACTCAGGCAAACGCTGGCCTGGAAGAGGGAAGTCAGCCCGGTCAGGGGATCCGGGATCTCTCACACCAAGGGGCTCCGCGGGGGCCTCCTGGATCAGGTTGGACCTGACACCCTTGCACAACCCAGGGCAGAGCCAGACTCACAGGTCGAAGATCAGGTAGTGGTGTCCCTCCTCTGAGATGCTGTCGTGGAGTCGGACTGTGGGAGGGGCCACAGCAGTTGGTTACAGAAGAACACGCTGCTCCCCACCCTTCCTCCAATAGCCAGTATCCCCACGTCTTAGTCCCTGAGCATGAACTAGGTAATAGGGCTTTGACAAACCCAGATAAACAAGGGCTCACTGCGTTGAGAGCTCACAGATGCCAGGCATTGCTGAAAGAGGCTGGGACTGAAAATCTAAAGATCCCTGTTTTGGTCAAAGTTTGGTCCTATCTCCAACCCTCGGTTTTATGGCTGCACAGTCTGGAATCCTGAAAAAGGCAGCTCCAATCTCTGCCACTTCTGAGCTGTGTGACTCTGGGCAAGTTGGTAAGCCTCTCTGAGCCTCTCTTTTTCTCCCTGGACAACCATAATGAAACTCCTGGTGGGGTGGGGGGAATGCAGCAGATGGTATGGAGTTTAAGATGCTGGAACCCACATGGCCGGCTGCAGTTCGAGTCCTGGACCAAGCAGCCTGGAAATCGCACCGAGCACATGTGTGTGCATGCCCAAAATCCTGAGAGACTGAAGGAGAAGGGATTGTGGCATGAACATTGCCCTTGGGGTGCGCTTTCTCACTTTCTGTCTCTTTCTATCTCTCTCTGGCAAGCATATGCACCCTGTAACAAAAAACTTAAAGAGAGAGAGAGAAAAAATGAAACTCCTGGACTTGCAGGCTTGCTGTGAGAGTTCCAGGAGGAAAACCGTCAATGTGCACTCCACAGGGCCTGAGCTAACTAATCCCGCTGCTCTGCCCCCAGGTCTGAGGAAGTGACACAGCTCCATGGAGGCTGGAACAGGAGTGACAGCAGCCCCGAGTTCTGGTGAGCTGTCATCTCTTCCCACTTCATTTACCAAGAACAGAGGCCATGCTCCCAGGAGTCCAGAGCTCCCAGAGTTACCACGAGAGCTTTTGAAAGGAAGAGCCTGCAGCCTGGAGCTAAAGTTGGTGGCTGTGCCCTGCCAGCCAAGGGCAGGTTCTCACAGGACGAGGCTCATGTCCTTCCCTGCACCACAACCTAAAAATGTCCATGAGGGAGGGTGCTGGCTCGGTGAGTTACGATCCATCTGCACAATGGAAAATTACACAGCTGTTAAAATAATGTGGCCGTTATGTAGCCACTGATTCGGAATCATCCCCAAATTATGTTGTTTGGCGAAAAAGCCCAGTACCAAGCAGTATACACGGCACTTCGTGAGAAGGATGCATTCAAGCCTGTATATGGCAGAAGTCTCTCTGGAGGAATACAGAAAAGCTGGCATCAGAGGAGCCTTTGGAGAAGGGAATTGGGGGAGGAGGGGTGGGGGGATTCGATTCTGACGATAAACCCCAGTGCCATCTGAATTCTCGCCATGCGCGTGTATTTCTCATTCAATACTGAGTCTCTCAAATTGCTTATGGCGCTCGTTTCTGCACATAAATTTTGGAGAGCAAGTCAAGAGTCAGATGTCCAGTACTCCAAAGTGGGTGCCACAGGGGAAGGGAGCTGGGACCCAGACACGGAGGACAAAGGGCACGTAAATTAGAACGCTTAAAACATTCTGAAGTGGTCGTGCATATGTACAGATAATAACTGAATGATGCTTGAAATAGATTTTAAAGTAAAATGTAGTACACTTCTGCTTTAAGGTCCTGTCAACATTTTATTATAAAACATTTCAAACAGGGCCAGCTCTGAGCAGCCATAGTGTGCTGCTTAAGAAAAACTGGATCCACACACGGCGACGTTGGTTCAAATCCCTGGCCTGGTCAACTGGAAATGCGCCAGGCACACATGCAGGGCCCTGATGTCTGGCAGACTGGAGAAATGGAGGAAAGGAATCATAGCCTGACCAGACCCTGTGGGAGGTGTTCACCGTCCCCGCCACCTCTTTCTCTTTGTTTCTCTCTGTGTCACAGTCGCGTGCATAAGGGAGAAAAAGGATGCCTCCCAGTGCACTTGAAAAGTTATATATACATATATATGTGTGTGTGTGTGTGTGTGTGTGTGTGTGTGTATATATATATATATATATATAGTCAGAAAAATCATGATGTCTTTTTTCTTTTTTTAAAGAATTATTTTATTTAACTTTACTTATTTATTTATATTCATTTATTTTAATTTGACCAGAGAGGAACAGAGAGAGAGAGAAAGTGAGAAAGCAAGCTGCCAGGCCCAGGACTTGAACCGCAGAAGGTCATGTGGGAGTCCAGTGCCCTCAACCACCACGCCATCTGCTGGCCCCCATGACATCTTTTTTCTATGCAAAATGTGTCATGATTTTTCTAACAAATATATATATGATATGTGTGTGTGTGTGTGTGTGTGTGTGTGCATGTACATATACACATATAGTTAACTGTAGATGGTGAGCTTATAGGAGATACTCTAAAAAGTATTTGCTCTGGAACCAGCAGATGGCATAATGGTTACATCGCTGGACTCCCACATAGTCCACCATGGTTCGAGTTCCAGACCCAGTGGTTTAAATCTCATGACAGGCACCTGTGCGTGCATGCCCAAAATCCCGAGAGGAGAATAGAGGAGAAGGGATTGCAGCATGGCCATAACCTCTTGGGGGCGATTTTTCACTTTCTGTTTCTCTGTCTCTCCAGCAAGCACACGTGCCCTATAGCAAAAATCGCTCTAAAAAAAAGTGTTTGCCCATTTATTTACAATGAACTAGCATTCTTGGTGTATCAAGGCAAAAAAAAAAATTTTTTTTTAGTTTTTTGCCATAGGGTGCATGTACTTGCCAGCAAAAGACAAAGAGACAGGAAGGAGGAAAGTAAGAAATCGCCCCTCAGTGGGGATGGCCGTGCTGCCACCCCTCCTCCGTACCCTCCTCTCGGGATGTGGAGCATGCATGCACAAGTGCCTCGTGCGTCTCTTAAGCAGCTCGGTCTGGGATTCGAATCACAGAGTTGGTCATGTGGGATCCAGCACCTTCACCACCTGCTGGCCTCGCAGATCCATCTCTTACAAGCTGTGCCACTTTAGGCGAACGTCTTCACCTCTCTGAGCCTCCATGTCTGATAGCGCGAATACTGTGGGACAGCTGCGGTAATCGGTGTGACTCAGCACCGAGGACCGTGCCCGGCATGAGGAAGGGTGGAGATGAAGTGAAGCCTTCGGCCTCGCCATGATCACCAGCCACGCTTCCCTTCCCATCTACTAAGCTCTCAGGTTATCCAAGCAGTCTCCTGCACCCTGGGGTGGCCCTCCGGGGTCTGGCCCAGCTGCAGACGGTGATGGCACAGAGAGCAGTGTACTGTCACACACACACACCCCACCCCACCCCCACCCCCGGGTCTCCAAGCAGGATCTGGGAGGTAAGGGCTTTGCACATGGTTCTGCTGAGCCAGGGACCCCGCTGACCCGGTTCGTTCGGGCAGGGCAGCACCACACGTAAGCACTATGCGGTTGGCTTGTCTGATTGGCCAAGTAGCTGAAGAGACGGAGTCTGGCTTCTCCGGGCACAGAGGCAACTCTCGGGCTCTCACCCACCTCTGTGCCTCTTTGCACTTCTCTGGGAAGATTACAACCTACTTGGAAGTGAGATGCAGAACGGTGCACCCTCCGAGGACCCTTTCGCTCTGCTAACAGCTGAAGGTTCTTCTGAGGGTTTTCCTGCGCTGGATGCTCAGCCCTGCCCTCCCCTTCCCTGCGTGTCAGGCACCACCGCCCCACCCCATCCCTATGCTCGTTCCTCCCACACATGCTCAGAGCCTAAGGGTGCTGGATCGACTTGATGGCAGGTGAATGGGTAAGTGGAGGAATTCTGGATTCAATGAATGTGCTGCTGACGAAGGTGACAGCTGCCATTTCTGAGCTTTTCCTGTGTGCTAGGCCTAACACGAAGGGCTTTACGCACCCCAACGAAGGTGACAGCTGCCATTTCTGAGCTTTTACTGTGTGCTAGGCCTAACACGAAGTGCTTTACGCACCCGCTGCTGAGCCAGGGACCCCGCTGACCCGGTTCGTTCGGGCAGGGCAGCACCACACGTAAGCACTATGCGGTTGGCTTGTCTGGTTGGCCAAGTAGCTGAAGAGACGGAGTCTGGCTTCTCCGGGCACAGAGGCAACTCTCGGGCTCTCACCCACCTCTGTGCCTCTTTGCACTTCTCTGGGAAGATTACAACCTACTTGGAAGTGAGATGCAGAACGGTGCACCCTCCGAGGACCCTTTCGCTCTGCTAACAGCTGAAGGTTCTTCTGAGGGTTTTCCTGCGCTGGATGCTCAGCCCTGCCCTCCCCTTCCCTGCGTGTCAGGCACCACCGCCCCACCCCATCCCTATGCTCGTTCCTCCCACACATGCTCAGAGCCTAAGGGTGCTGGATCGACTTGATGGCAGGTGAATGGGTAAGTGGAGGAATTCTGGATTCAATGAATGTGCTGCTGACGAAGGTGACAGCTGCCATTTCTGAGCTTTTCCTGTGTGCTAGGCCTAACACGAAGGGCTTTACGCACCCCATCTCACTTAACCCTCCTGACAGTCCTGGAAGGTGGGTGCGTGGTTATCCTCATTTCACAAAGAAAGATACTGAGGTTCAGAGAGTCTCACCTGCCCAAGCTCAAACACTCGGTATATAGCAGAGCTGAGAGAGGACCTTCGTATGTCCTATTCTCTTAACCACCAAGTCCTATTCCTCTTAACCATCATGTTAAATAGAGTGTCTCCAATACCAGCAGTTAGCGTAATGGCTATGTCGCTGGACTCCCACATAGTCGACTGCAGTTTGAGTCCTGGACCTGGTGGCTTAAACTCACGCCGGGCGCGTGTGTGTGCGTGCCCAAGATCCCGAGAGGAGAATGGAGGAGAAGGGATTGTGGCGTGACCATCCCCGCTGGGGGGTGATTTCTTGCTTTCTGTCTCTCTGTCTCTCTCTGTCTGTCTGGCGAGCGCACGCACCCTATAGCAAAACCTCTCTAAAAAAAATTAGAGTGACTCGATGATTATCAAAAATCTTGATTCGGGAAAATGATAATCTTCTAAAATTTCAGGCGAGAGACGGTGCTCCATGAGAAAGTGTAGACTGGGGAAAAGGGGGAGTGTCATTGCACTCTGCTCTATTTAATGATCCCAATCTTACAAGGGGTAGCACTTTCTTCTAAATAAGATTGAGTTCAGAGTGGCTCAGCAGCATGTCCAGGGTCACACAGCAAACCCAGGATGAGCACTGCAGTCTGTCAGCCCAGAGCGGGTCACTTACAGCTCCACACAACAGTCGGGAGTGACTGGGCGTAGGAGGTGCCAACAGGAGAAGGCAGTGTGACCCGAGACAGCTGGGACTCTGCGGCAGCACACGCATACAGGCATGTGCACACGGACTCTCTCAAACTGACAGCCTTTAAAAGATAACCATGGGATTTCCGGTCAGAGGTCACTCACAACCCCCTCCATCGTACGATTGGGGAGTTGGACCTGCCTAAGGCCACCCAGCGGGGACGTTGACAGGTCAGGGACCAGGTTCCAGCCAGGGCTCCTCTCTGCCAGCCCTTGCTGCCTGCAGTCTGAGGCTGGCCCTGGAGCCTCTGGCTGCTGCTAAGCACAGGGAAGGGGAGGTGCCTTGGGGTATAAATAGCAGATGGAAATGCTTCTCTCCAGCAAGAGCGTTAACCCTTGGGGTCCCGGGTACAAAGAGCAGCTTCCTTCCCAAGAAAGTAGGCATGGTAGCTGTCAGAGTTAGAATTATTCTTAGAGAGACCTAGACCTTGACCCTCAAAGTGTGGCCAGTGAATGAGCAGCCATGGCGTCTCCCCAGAAACTGCTAGAATGCAAGCTCTCAGGCCCCATTCCAGACCCACTGAATCGATGTCTACCTTTTCACAGGATGCCCACGTGATTAAAGCAGCAACGTTCGTCCAGACAGCCCTCTCCTTGTCAAGATGGGAAAAAGTGGCTCAGAGAGGGTAGTGCTCCTGTCCAAGGTCACACAGCCATTCCCTGACAGAACTAGACCCACAAGTGTACTTCCTGGCCACGTGATACAGAACCCTGACAGGCAGGGATCCCCCCCCCCCCGTTGCACAGGTCGGGGAGGGGGGCCAGGCTGTGAAGTATAGTTCAGAACCTACCCTGTGAGTGCCATGCCCTGGCTCTGTCCTGCCATAGGGTCAGCTTCTCCACTCAGTCTACCCCTGAGAGGCAGGGGCAGAGGTTTAGGGAGGTGGGCAGGGCCAGGGGTGCCAGGCTGACTCAGCATGGGGGTGTGCTTGGGGAGTGGGCCACTGCAGTCAAGGCCACACTTTTCCCTCCGTGGCCTATTTTCATCCCTTTGAGTGCTTCAGAAATTCTCCTGGAACAGCTTTTCTGAAGGAGGCTGCCGGCAGTGTGGGATGGGAGGAAGGGCCCTTTCTTCACCTTCCCCCGAATCAAGCTGGTCTCTGAGGAATGTGGAAACCATTAAAGACGCCCCCTTTCTCCTTTCTACCGCCTCCATCCCCAGAGAAGAGAGCAGCTGCTCCCCATCCCACCCCCAAACACCCATGTGCCAGGATGGGCAGGGGAGCAGACAGGCCCCCCCCACGCCCTGCATCCCCAGGGCTCACCAATGTTGGGGTGCTTCAGCAGGCGGCAGATACGGGCTTCGCGCTCCAGCTTCTGGTGGTCTGAAACACAAAGGCTCAGGTGAGTCCCAGGTGAGGGAGGCCCTGCCCCACCACCTCTCCTTCTTCACTGGCCACTGACCTTCCCACCTCCCAGGGCAGCCCAGGGAGGAAGGAGAGACCTGGGGTGTGGCAACTCAGAGGAGTCCCTCTCCCTCCCTGCACCTTGTGTCCAGGGCCCTCAAATGAGGGGCATCTCTGAGCCCTTGCTGTGTAGGGGTCACCCAAGGCTGGCTCCTCCTCCTCCAGGTCTACCACCTGGTGCCTCTCCAGCCAGGCTGGACAGCTGGGTTTGGCCCTCGCTCGGGGAGACAATTGCACGAGCAATTCTCTCCACAGGAAACGTTCCCTCTCAGCCTCCCACCTGCCACTCACGGCTGTCACTCACTCCCACCACTCCTCAGATGGCGCCTGCTCTGGCTGCTGGGCTGTCAGAGCCCTCCTCTGCTCCCAGAGCCTGGAATGCATGCCCCACTGTACCCCGCTGTGGTTCGTGGCCATCTGCATCCCTTGCAGGGATAGGCCTCCACGATATTCCTGGCACTCAAGAAAAGACTGAATGGAAGAACCTCTCTAAGGGAGAGACTTCTCTCCAGAAAAGCTGTGTCCATTTTCAAAAGCCACTTCCCTTTCAGAAGACTCTGGGGCCAGGGACACAGAGAACCCCAAAAAATTGTAGGGCAAGACTTGAACATGACCACCTCAGGACTGAGCTACAGCACCCCTTCTGCCTTCCAGGACTTCTGTCCAAGCCTACTGGGTCTGGCACTCCCCTCACTCAGAATCTGCCACCTGTGCCCTCTGACTCTCAGGCTACCAGCCCATCCAGTGCCCCAGTGGCCCTGGGCTACAGACATCACTGTCTCCATTTCATAGGTGAGGACGCTGCAGTCACGTGAGCTGAGGCCTCGGTGGTGGTGAGGTTGGAGGCGAAATGCATCTCGTGACCCCCTCACTGGTGCTTTGCTCACAGCTCAGCAGTTTTGACTTTCATGTTAAGAACAAAACAGTAAGTCCAGGGACCAGCAGCTAGCGTAATGGCTATGTCGCTGGACTCCCATGTAGTCGATCGTGGTTTGCATCCCAGACCTGGTGGCTTAAACTCACACCGGGCGTGTATGTGTGCGTACCCAAGATCCCGAGAGGAGAATGGAGGAGAAGGGATTGCGACTTGGCCATCCCCCCTGGGGGGCAATTTCTAGCTTTCTGTCTCTCTGTCTCTCTCTGTCTGTCTGGCGCACATGTCCTATAGCAAAAACCTCTTTTTTAAAAAAAAAGCAGTGGGAACCAGCAGTTAGTGTAATGGCTATGTCGCTGGACTCCCACGTAGTTGACCGCGGTTCGCGTCCCGGACCCGGTGGCTTAAAACTCACGCTGGGCACATGTGCATGCGTGCCCAAGATCCCGAGAGGAGAATGGAGGAGAAGGGATTGCGGCATGACCATCCCCCCTGGGGGGTGATTTCTCGCTTTTTTCTCTCTGTCTCCCTCTCTGTCTGGCGAGCACACGCACCCTATAGTGAAAACCTCTCCAAAAAAAAAAAAAAAACCAGTAAGTCCAGACATGCTGATGCCCGAGGCCACACCACCATGCCCTGCAGTGAGGACCATGTGGCAGGCCCAGGTCAGATGTCCCAGTTGGATTTCCAGCCCAATCCCAAAGTCAGGTGCAGTGGCACACACCTGTAATCGCAGTCACATGGGGGAGGTTGGGGCAGGAGGATGTGAGCTGGAGTCAGCCCAGGCAACAAGGCAAGGTCCTGTCTAGTACAGTCAGGCATGGTGGCACACACCATGTCCCAGCTGGGAGACAAGACCCTGTGCTAAAAAAAAAAAAAAAAAAGGAGCGGGGGAGGTGGGTGGCCAGGAGGTGGCTGACTGGTTCAGGCACTGGATTCCCACATAGTCAACTGTGGTTCGAGTCCCGGACCTGGCAGCCTAAAACTCATGCTGGGCACTTGTGTATGCATGCCCAAAATTCCAACAGGAAAACGGAGGAGAAGGGATTACAGTGTGGCCATCCCCCCTGGGGGGGGTGATTTCTTACTTTCTATCTGTCTTTTTCTGTCTCTCCAGCAGGTGCACACACCCTTTTTTTTTTTTTTAAGAAACCTCTAAGGAACACAGTGTTTACTATGTGCTGGGCACTGTGTGGCTACTCTTGTTTCTTTTAAACCCTCACAACCATCCTCTGAGGGAGGTGCTGTCATTCTCCTGCCTTTAGAGAGGAGGAAACAGAGGTTCAGAGAGGCTGAGCCTGTGGCCCAAAGTCAAACCCATGGTGCACGTTGGAGCCCACCTTCCCACATACTGAGCAGCCAGACTAGAGCTGGGCTTTAGAACCCTGCGCTATGCTGCCCGCCACCCCTGCCCCAGTGCCCACACAGGTAAGTCAAAGCCCAACACAGGTGGACACTTGGGGGCCAGGCCAGGCCTCCAGAGCTGGGAGGTATCAGGGAGGGTGATGAGGGTGGAGAAAGTCCAACCCTTGTCTCCAGGCTCCAGGCCCCTCTCCCCTGCCCCCTACACTGGAGCAATCACTGGCTGCACTCCAAAGGAAGCCGGAGCCAAGATCAATACTGTGAAGTGGCTTTTCCATCAGCAAAGCAATTAAGTCCAATTCTTTTTCCACAGGCTCAACTCCAGGCTGAAGACTGCTGTGGGCTGGGGAAAGCACCCCTGGCTCCCCGCCCTCTCTGGCCTCCTTCCACATACTCCAGAGCACAGGAGGGGGATCCCCACCCAGGGCTGGCCAAGGGCCTCAGTGGGCTGAGGAAGGCTGGACCCTTCTTCAACTTCACATCCTGTCCCCCAAGAACTTATCCCACCCCAGCAGAACCAGAAGTCAGCAGGTCAAGATGGGGCCTACCAGAGGGTGCAGGGGTAGCCCGCTATCCTGAGCTGCACATCCAGAGGCCCCCAATCCAAACTGTGACGTATCCTCCATGTGAGGTTACCCAGGGACGGAGTCACAGCGACAGGGATTGAAAAAAGAAACTACTGGTCATGCAACTTTAAGCTTTAACTGGTTATCAGACCTCACTGCTGGAAAGGCTTATTTTTAACATCTTGTAGTCATCCACGCACAGTACAGTCACCCTGGATTGTAACTGTCCCTGTCAGAAGCATTAATTTGTTGAATATAAACATAGGCACTACGCAATAATTTCTGTACATCTATTTGCAATGTTTTTCTTTTCCTTCTTAAAATATAGTTTAATGTATTTTAACAGCAAACTTACAGGAACAACACAGAAAAAAATTATTTTCTCCTCTTATTTGTTATTGGTAGTTAGGAATGTTAGATTTTCTTTTCCCCCATGGGGTCAAAAGGTACCTATGTTTTCATTTTCTAATATACAGAAAACCTCAAGACACATAGAGACCATGTTTCTCTTGACCTCTGGGGCCTTGCTTTGTTACGGCATGGGAAAACTGAGGTCTGGTATGGACGTGTAGCCCTTCTGTGGAAATCACTTGCCCATGTGATCCAGCCTCATTAGACTCAGAGTACAGAGGTCCCGACCCCTGTCCGCTCTCCAGCCGACTGTCTACAGCAGTCAAGAAGGTTTTTGGTTTTATTTTTGTTTTGCTATGGGCCATGTGCACTCACTGGAAAGGGACAGAGACAGGGGTGGGGGTTGGAGTGAAGAATCATCTCCTCGGGCGATGGCCACACCACATCCCTTTTCCAGTCTCCTTTCACAATTTTGGGCATGCATGCACACACACTCCCCGTGTGATTTTCAAGCCACCGGGTCCAGGACTCGAACTGCAAAGTCAGCCAAGTGCGATCCAGCTGCCTTAACCTCCATACCTGCCTTAGCTTGCTGGCCCCAAGGAGCTCTTTTCAAAATATAAACTAGAGCCTGTTACTCCCTGGATTCAAACTCTCCACCAGCTCCCAGTGCACTTCTGATATGATCCAAGCTCCTCGTCACAGCCTGCAAGGCCTTGCTGAGTCCTGCCTCACCTGGCCAGGAAACTCCAGCCATAACAGCCTCCTTGTTGGCCTCAGGCACACCCAGCTCCTTCCCACCCCGGGGCCTTCGCACCTGCTCTGCCCTCTGCCTGGACTGCCCTCCCCCTGGGTGTTCTCCTGTGTGCCTCCTCATCATCAGGTAGGTCCCAACACGGCGTCACCTCCTTGGAGGGCTTCCTGGTTGCCTTTTCCAGGAGGGTCCTTTCCATTACCTCTCTTACCTACTTTATAACACTTATGGCTCCCAGGAGCCATAAGTCTCATTCCCTAGAAAACAGGAATGACGAGAGCACGATCTGGTCTGTTGGTGACAGCCATATTCCCAGGGCCTAGCACGAAGGTGCCAAGCAGCTTGTCCAAGGTCCCAGGTGACAAGCAGCAGAGCTGGAACATCAGTCCAGGTGCATAATGACTATACTATATTGCCTTGATTTGAGTAATTCATTCATTGACAAGTCAGTTCAGCTCAGCCGACTGTAGTGGTGAGAGGACTGAGGAAAGTTGGGGTCTCCAGCCTCCTGCCTGGGATCCTGGAAGGGCTACCTTAATGGCCTGATGATAGCTTGAAAATCTTGTCCCTATGCCCTCCTTCCTTCCCTGGGTGGTTGGGTCACCTCCCCAGTGTTGGGGTTAAGGGCATGGTCCCACCCAGAGCTCAGCAGGTGTGTGTCGGGGGAGGGCACTCTGGAGTGAGGTCCCAGGGTCAGACAGTCCCAACAGGGCAGGACAGGAAGAACATGCAGTCACCAGTCAGGCAGGACTATGCCTACAGAGCGGAGCAGGGGGGTCCCAACAGGTGTGTAGGCAGGGAGTTTGGGCAGGAGGCAGGAATGAGGGGAGAAATGCACCTCAAGTGTGGGAACAGGAAGCATCCTGCTCCACAGGGCGTCTACGAACCCGGTTCCTGAGTCTGGAGAAGTAATTCTGAGGGCCAGGAGACCCAGGCAAGGGGTCAGGAGGGGACGGAGAAGGTGGGAGCTAGTGTCATACTGCTTGCTCCGATGCGCCTTGGCGGGAACCTGAATGCGGCTCAGGTGCAGCCTGGAAGAGCTCATGCCACGCTTCCACCCATGCCCTGCCACCGGTCACTGGGGAAGTGAGGAAGAGACCCCATCACACTCAGCGTGAGGAGTGGGGGGGTGGAGCCTGACAGTGGGTGCAGCGTTCAGGGGTATCCTTGGACTGCACTAGCCACACCCATGTGCCCGGCATGCCCTACAATGCTAACTTCCTGTGTGCGTCATGGGGAGGTTGAGGCTGGGAGGCAGACGGGTCACCGTACCCCTATGAGCGAGACTTACTATGAGCGGAGTTTCAACACTGAGGCCCTGGCCTCACCTACCGAATCCAGCCCGGGGGTGCAGGGAGAACGCAGTCAGCTGCATTTTTAAAGGCACCCCAGGGAGGTTGGCAACATTTACTTTTCATTTCATTTCTTTAAATTGTTCATATTCTGAGCATTTTTCTGAAATGATTAGTTTAAAAATACATATAAAGAGATCTCTGGATTTGGGCGGTACTTGTTAGAAGAGGCTGGGCGGGGCCGGGAAAGGGAAGCCACCGCTCCCTGGGTGGCGGGGCTGGGTGGGAAGGGCAGGCGCCCTGGGTGGGTGCAGCCCCTGCCGGGAGTGCCAGCAGGGGAGTGTGCTCATCAATTCTCAGAGAAACCCCCCAGGGGCTCTGTGAGTAGAAAACAAAGAAACCTGTTCCAAGAAGCTCTGCTCCTACTCTCCCACTGGGAGAACAGTCTGGCAGTTCGCAGACTTCAGACTTCGGGAAAGTTCTCTCCTAGCCGTCCCGCCCCCATCCACCACATGCGCCCAGGCCTAGGTCACCCTCCTCCCAGAAGGTCAGACTCAACAATCTGCCCAGCCTAACCCAGAGACTACTGCTCAGGAATGCTGTCGCCTCCCCGAACAGGAGTCGGGGCCCTTCCACTCTCCCATACGCATCTGTGTCTCTAGTGTGTGTGTGCATGTGCGCACGCGTGTGTGTGTGTGTGTGTGTGTGCACGTATGCAGGTGTCCCTAAGAGTGTGGGGAGTCAGCCCAACACCGCCAGCACCTGTGAGGACCTCCGTTCTGACCCTCCCTCCTCTCAGGGCAGTTTCAACCTCTCACTTCCAAGCCGAGACTAACCCTATCCCCTCTGTACTTCAGAACATCTCCCTTGATCACTAGAGTCGCAAAGCCCAGAGAGGGCACCAGCTGCCACAGGTCACACAGCAACTGCAAAGCCGGCTCAGGCCTCAGGACACGAGGCATCACTCCCACCCACCCCAGCCCCTGGCTCTGACTCTGGCTTGCCACTTTCCACAGGTCTGTCCACAGGTCTGGCTTCTTCACACTGACTAGTGCCATGCCAGGGTCCTGGGCCTCCAGAGAATCCTCTCCTTGAGTTCCCCACCTGCTGAGCTCCATCTCCCTGCAGGACCTTGGGAGAGGTGGTAACAGCAGAGACTGCAGAGCTCCCAGCACCACGGAGCCGGAGGATGAAAGGGGACAACCCACAGCCACGCACAGCCCTGCTGGGAGGCCCTGCTGGGAGGCGGAGGGAGCAGTGGCAACGCGCAGCTTCCCTAGCCCCTCCTGGACTCCACTGTAGGTCAGCGCCTGAGTGGCCTTTAGATAATTTCCCGTAAGAAAATAAGGAGACGGTGACAGCGACCTTTGGCCAGAACCTTCTGTCCAGAGTCCTCCGTCACTGGCAGCTGATGCCTGTGGATGGGCTGATAAGGTCACCATGGCATTCTCGTGACCCTACCCCTCCGCCCTCCCACATAAATACATCATATCTCTTTGGTAGGGTGGGCCGAGGCACCTCCAACTTCAGACCCCCCGGGTGCTCTTTCTCTCAATGAACCTTGCTTTTTCCCTTGATCGCGGCTCATGAGTCTCACTCCGGACCCTGACACCCATGCCTGGCTGGACACTATGCAGTCCCTCACACGTCGTCCCCCTCACTGCACGGCCCACACCTGCACCACTCACCCAGCAGAGCCCCCCCACAACAGGGCATCCCTAAGGAAGCTTGTACACAGTCTCCTTTGGGTGGCAGTTGGCATCTTGAAGACAGACCTCCCGACACACGGGCAGTGGACCCACCATTGGCACCTAACCACGGGTTAATAATAAGCCAGTCTCGCGGGCAGGCGTCCAGACTGTAAGGTATGAATCATTCAAACATCTCGTTAAAACGCAGATTCCAGTCCCTCCAAAGGTGAGGGGCTCGGTGCTTTGCGCTTCTAGCAACTTCCTAATAGCCCAGGGCCACTTCTAATGTTTCCCAAAGGTGTTTGCAAGTGACAATTGCCTGGTCTCTCTTCCAAAACCCAGGCCACACCCACACCATCTAGAGAGCAGAGAATGGGTGGGTGTGGTTGCAGCAGAGCTCACCCAGCGTCCGGGGGCTCTCGCTGCTGACCTGGTGCCCGGTGCTGTCCTAGGTGCTGGGCACAGACCCTGTGCGAGCCCCATCCCACACTCCTGGGGCTCACAGTTCGGAGGGAGATGGGTGTTAGACAAGGAGCCCAACTTGTCGACAGGGAAGACTAGGTTAGGGGAGAGCCACAAAGGAAAGTAACAGTAACGAGAGAGAGAAAATGGGGCGACGTCTCAGGTGGGGGTCAGGGAGGCCTCTCATAGGATGTCCACTAAGCAGAGACCTGGAGGTTGAGAGTGGCCATGTGAGGAGCCAGGTCAGGCACCCAGAGGAGTGGGCAGGAGGCGAAGGGGAGCACAGAGGAGCCGGGAAAGGAGTCCTAGCAGGCACCTTCGCCCTCACCCAGTGCAGGCAGAGTCTGAACGAGGCTATGCCCTCCAGCCCGGATTCCCAAGAAAGGACAGGGAGGGACCCATTCTCATAACACCCTCAGGAAGGAGGACGCCCAGACCTGCCTGGCACTACCCCAGAGGCCAGACCCAGGCGCTGGTTTGAAGCCGAGAGGTGAAGAAGGGGGGAAGGGCAGGAAAGGCCCCGGGGGAGAGGAGGGTCAGGACATAGACCAGGCACCTACCTCTGGCCGAGAGCTTCTTGGTGTTGATGATCTTGGCAGCATACTCCTGGCCAGCCAGCACCTTCACACACCTGCGCACCACCGAGAAGGCTCCCCTAGGACAGACAAGGTGAGGACGTGAGGGAGGGCCCAGGGCTGTGCCCCGGGAGGTGCTGAGGTTCAGGCCGCCGCACTGCTCGTGTTCAGAGGGACCACTGTGGCACGGCTCGGGGACAGGCTGGGACTAGAGAAGCCCAGAAGATGGACCCAGAGACAGGATTCACAGCTTGGCCCGTGTGAGGTGAGCCTTCCAGAGTCATGGAACGTTAGGCTCACTGCGGTGAACGTTAGAGTCGTGTCGTGTTAGGAGCTCAGAATGCAGGTTTCTGGACTTTTCAGTTGGTTATTCTCTGAGTAGGTAACACATTGACGTGACTCAAAGTTCAAAAGATGCAAACGAGTAGATAGTAAAAAGACTCCCAGGACCAGCAGGTGGCGTAATGGCTATGTCACTGAACTCCCACATAGTCCCACACAGTCCACTATGGTTTGAGTCCTGGACTCAGAGGCTTAAAGCTCACATCAGGGGACCAGCAGTTAGCATAATGGCTATATCGCTGGACTCCCACGTAGTCGACCATTCGCGTCCCAGACCCGGTGGCTTAAAACTCATGCCGGGCGCGTGTGCATGCGTGCCCAAGATCCCGAGAGGCCATACCCCCGGGGCGTGATTTCTCGGCTTCTGTCTCTCTATCTCTCTCTGTCTCTCTGGCTAGCGCACCCGACCTATAGCAAACACCTCTCAAAAAAATATGTATATATATAAATAAAAATTTAAAAAGCTCACATCAGGCATGTGTGCTAAAATCCCGAAAGGAGAATGGAGGAGAAGGGATGGCGGTGTGACCATCCTCTCTGTGGGGTGCTTTCTCACTTTCTGGCTCTCTTTGTCTCTCTGGTGAGTGCATGTACCCTATAACAAAAATCTCTCTCTCTAAAATAAAAAAGAAAATAAAAAACACTTCCTCCTACCCTGTAACCCAGCCTCTGGGCTCCCTCCCCAGAGATACCCACTGCTACCAAATCCTTAAGTGTCTTTCCGCAGGTACTTTTCCCACCCTTGGGCCAGCCTGTGGCCTGGAGGGCAAGTCAGCCAGATGCCCCATGGCCAGGTCCCCGGTTCAGGTCTCAGACCTGGAGGCCCGAGAAACACGAGGTACATGTGCATGCATGCCCGAAATCCTGACAGGAGGGAGACAGGAAGAGAAGGGATTGTGGCGTGACCATGCCCCATGAGGAGAGGAGTGCTTTCTCATTTCCTCGCTCTCTCCCTCCTTCTGGCACGCATGCACCCTCTGGCAAGTTAAGAAAAAAATAAAAGGGTTTTGATTTTGCACACAGTTCTGCAAACAGTAAACAATCTACTTTAGAGACCCTCCTTTCATATCATAACATAACGAGCTCCTCATCTCATTACAGCATCGCGTGTATTGTACGTCTTTACCCAGGGACTCCCTTATTCACGAGCAGTGACGTTAATTTTCCTCGATAGCGATTACAAACAGAGCAACAGTGCTACAGTGAATAACCTTGCATGTATGCGTGAGAATTACGTTTCCCGGGTGTGCACAAGTCTGTGGATACATTTCTAGTACTGGAGTTATTAGCTGAAGAAGTCAATGTTGTTTGGCAATTTTTTAAAAATTTGCTCTAGAGTTAGGTGTACTCGCCATCAAGAGGGAAATGAGAAAGTATCTCCCGGGGGGATGGCCATGCCGCAATCCCTTCTACTCCATTCTCCTGCTGGGATTGTTTTTCAAACCACCATGTTCAGGACTCAAACTATGCAGTCTACCATGTAGGCTCCAGCTGCCTTCACCTCCACGCCACTGGCTGGCCCAGCAACTTGGATAAATAACAAGAGACTGTCTATCTTAGAGATTATACCAGCTCACCTTCCCACTAGCACATGAGGGGTTCAGTTTCTTCCACCCTCGTGTCATCAAACCCTTTTACATCGCTAGCAAGACAGGTGGAAAACGGCAACTCGGTGTAGATTTAATTTGTACTTGTCATATTATGAGTGAGGCTAAGCGTCTTCCCATATATTTTAAGAGGCTGCTGGGATTTTATCTTCAAAGTATGAGTGATTAAAAGAGAACCTGGGGCACGGGCCACGAGCTTCAAAGCTTACAGGGGGAGCCGGGTTGTTACCACGTAGTATGTGAACCGTTTCATCAGTCATCTCTTCCGAAAAGCGGGAAGTCTAGCCATGGATGAGAAACTTGACACTTTGTTCCAACAGAATCTGAACATAGGATCAGACCGAGAAAAACGGGTCTGAGGAGACTGGCAGATGGCGCAATGGTTATATCACTGGGCTCCCATGTAGTCAACCGTGGTTCTAGTCCCAGACCCAGTGGCTTAAAACTCATGCCAGGCATGTGTGCATGCATGCCCAAAATCCTGAGAGGACAATGAAAGAATGAAAAAGAAGGGACTGCAGTGTGGCCATCGCCCTGGGGGTGATTTCTCGTTGTCCATCTCTCTGCCTTTCTCTGTCTGTCTCTGTCTCTCTGACAAGCACATGTGCCCAATAGCAAAAAAAAAAAAAAAAAAAACAATACCACTGGGCTGGATCAAGAGTCCAGGTGCCATTTTTGCACACTTCGCCATAAAGGCCAGTTGGTCAAGCCCCTTCATCTCACAGAGGAGGTTCTTAGGAACCTACGCCCTTAGGGAGCCTGACACCAACCGTGGTCACCATCGTTACTGCCCTAAGCACATGCTCATGGCAGGAAGAGGGACTTCTGGGCAGGCCTACCAAACTTAAATGCTGTACGCATCCCCCAGACACCTTGTTGGTGTACTCTTACCTCTCGCGTCTCTAGCATAGCCTCTAGGATTGCTCAGGGACACTGCAAGTTGCGGGCCGAGCCATGTCTGGAACTCTGACTTCTGCACCCTGGGACTATGACTCCCACCGAGAGAGCCTCCCACTTCCTGTCAGGGGAAGCCGTGTCCAGGTTCTGGAAAGGGCTGCATCCCATGATATCCCTAAATTTTGGTCCTCCATCCTAGGGCTACAGGCAGGTCCAAGCCCCAAAGACGAGGCCGACAGAGCAGAAGAGGGTGCTGGTGGCACGGGGGAAGCCCACAGGCACCATGGGTGCCAGCCCTCACACACCCCGGGCTGTGGTAGCGCTGGCTTCACATCCGGGCAGGAGGATGTGGGCAACTAGAGAAGGATGGGGAGGAAACAGCTGAGATGGGGACTAGATGACCTTTCAGGAGAGCTGGAGAAGACCAGAATTTGTGGGAGAAGAAATGGCTTCGCATGGCAATAGATCGCCCCAGGGGTGTGCAGACACCTGTTCTTTAGAAGAAAGAAATTGCCTTCCCTAGTGACCCCACCCCACTCTGCCCCAGACACAGGGCCCCTCCTCTGTGCTCCCGGGGCAGCCTGCAGAGAACTCACTCACCCCATGACACTTCGGGCCTCCAGATACAGGAGTTTGCTCGTTCACGCCACCAATTTTCCTACTCTCTGGACACCAGTTGGGAGTCCCACAATTCAATTATGACACTAATTACCCAGCGTTAGTGCAGACCACACTGGGGAAGGGCCCTGTCCCACAAGACTGTTCCCTTACTTCAGATGTCAATCACAAGTAGTGGGTCCCCAACACTGTTAGCAATTTGGGGTTCCCATGACCTCTTCCTCAAGTTCTATAATTCCCTATGACGGCTCACCGGGCTTAGCAGAACACTCATTAATGGCTCATGATACAACAGAGGATGTGAACAGGGGACATAGATAGCAGAGGAGATGCGTATGGGCGTGGTCTGGGAGCCTCCTGAGACAGGCGCTCTCGTATCCATGGAGCTGGGATGCCCCCCACCCCCGGCCTATGGATGTGCCCACCAGCCTGGACACCCTCTGAACCCTGTACTCTAAGGATCTTCACAGAGACCTCACCACATTGACATGACCAATCAGTAACTCAGACCACAGCCCTTTGCCCCTTCCTGGAGGACGGGGGATGAGGGCCCAAAGTCCTGGATGTCTAATCATGGCTTGGTCTTCTTGGTGACCAGTCCCCATCCAGGAGCCCACAAAAGACGCCACTACCTCCCCCACAAATTAGAAAGTTACAGGGACCTCAGGACCTCTGTGCCAAGAACCAGGGCAGAGACCAAATACCTGTGTCTTATTCTAGTGCAATTCCACAGCCCCACGCCCCGACCTGACTCAGCCTGCTGTTGCTCGTCCCCTGCTTGCTTCCTCAATCTGACGGAAGTTCCCAAGGGCCAAGACGTTCACTTTCTTCTCTGCGTTCCCAATACCCGGGTACCCAGTGTCTGGTACCAAGAAGGTTCCATAGTGTTACTGCAGGGACTAGAGGTGGATTTAAGAATTGCAAGAGAGGGACCAGCAGAGCGCATAATGTATATGTCACTGGACTCCCACCCATGTAGTTGACCATGGTTCAAGTCCTGGACCCAGCGGCTTAAACTCACACCAGGCATGTGTGCGTGTGTGTTCATGCCCAAGATCCCAAGAGGAGAATGGAGGAGAAGGGATTGCAGTATGGCCATTCCTCCGGGGAATGAGTCCTCGCTTTCTATCTCTCTGTCTCTGTCTTTCAGGCGAGCTCAAGTGCCCTATAGCAAAAACCTCTCAAGAAAAAAAAAAAAAAAAAAGAAGACTAGCAAGAGAAATGAGACAGGAGAGGATCTTCATCTAGGGGTGTCAGAACTAGGATGATCTCCATTCTCTGCAGACAGGGGGATGGACCCAAAGACCTTGAAGTCCTTTCCCAGCCAGAGGCCTGGTTCTCAAAAGCCCTAAGGGAGAAAACATTTAAGTGGCCACATCTGGGAAAGGTTCTGAACACTCCAGGGAGAGGAGGTGAGGCAAGGAGGAAGAGGCTCACCTGGGAGTGCAGGGACAGGGTCCCGTCTTGTTTACCAGCACCTAGCCAGTGCTTGGTGGAGAGTTGCAGTTCAAGTAATGTGTGTTGGATGGAAGGATAGATGGATGGACAGAAGGGAGGAGAGACGATATCATTTATTCACTAGAGAAATGAAGCTCCAGGCCAGCCTTGTAGACTGG